ATGCAATTGATCTGATTAATGAAGGTGAATCCCAAATCAAACAACACACCAGATCCGAAAATTTTTTTATAAAAGATATTTTATTATCAAATAGACAATAAGTTGACCAGGACACATTTTAACTCTTCGAAAAAGTTATGTTTAAACATTCTTTATATTAAGTGGCAAATTATTCCGAATGCTCCAATTGGCTAAATGGTTGAGATCCTCCTGTAAAAGTAAAGCATCCGAAAAACATAGAATGCATTTAAACAGTTTTAGGTCGCCTGCATAAGCTTTTTAACTTCAAACTTTTTGAACTCCTAAAGCAAGTCCCAATGTCATTTATAACAAGAAGAAATAATGAAGGGCCAAGAACGCCACCTTGAGGTACTCCAGAAGTGGCCTCATAGGCATAAAACCTCGTATCTTGCACTTCCACAAAAGAGAATGACCTAAGCCAAGATAGAGAAAAGAGTGAAAATCTAGGCATTATAGCTTACGTAATAAAATACCATGTGGTACAATTTCAAAGACTTTGGAAAAATCGGTATAGAAGACATCAACTTGATACCCCTTCTTAAAAGTGGCAGTGCAATAACAAGTAAAACAGGCTAGGTTCGAGACAGTAGAACGACCGCTGACAAAGCCATGCTTGCGTGCTAATGGAGCCTTTAACCGCAAAAAAACAATTTATTGTGGTTATCTCTTTACCAACAAGATTGTGTAAATTAATTATATGTGAGTTAAGACTTTACTTTTTCTGTAAGGCTGTTTTTGTCACATAGAATAGCATGAATCATAGCGATCTTGCTCTTTGAGTTCATGCAGAGTAGAAGAAAAAGTCGAATTTTTATCATTAAAATTAAAATTATGCTGTTCAAGTGCTCTCACACGATTTGGAAAACTCTGCTGATCCTGCTGATTCACACGGCACGCAATTTGACAGTTTCCGGTTTCGCTTGTTTGTTCTATTTGAAAACGCATGGAAAATTAAATATAAGATTGTCAAATATCTCCCTCCGCTTTTTTGCTCTTCATTCAATGTTTTATAAAAAGTGTTACAGTGATCGCATTTAGTTAAAATATGCGCCGTTTTGTTCGATGATCTGTTTCCATCTAGACGGCAACTTCATAAATAATACCTTCCTCGTAGAAGAAGTGGACAGCCACTTTTTACAAGCCTCTTTTGAGTTCAACTTCACACCACCAAGGGCATTCGCCATGGACAAGAACAGGTGGTAATAACTTGGCGCTACGTCCGGGCTATATGGTGGATGCAATAAAACCTCCCATCCGAGCTCTTGTAGCTTCTGACGAGTCATCAACGAAGTGTGTGGTCTGGCGTTGTCCTGGTGGAACACTACACCCGTCCTGTTGGCCAATTCTGGACGCTTCTGGTCGATCGCCTGCTTCAAGCGGTCCAGTTGTTCGCAGTAGATGGTAGAATTAAGCGTCTGGCCATATGGGAGCAGCTCATAGTGGATGATTCTCTTCCAATCCCACCAAACACACAGCAAAACCTTCCTGGCCGTCAATCCCGGCTTGGCCACTGTTTGGGACGATTCACCGGCCCTCGACCACGGCCGTTTTTGCTTGATATTGTCGTATGTGATCCATTTTACGTCGCTAGTCACAATCCGCTTCAAGAATGGGTCGAGCTCGTTCCATTTCAGCAGCATATCGCAGGCGTTGATTCGGTCCTGAAGATTTTTTTGCGTCAAATTATGCGGCACCCAAACATCAAAGTTTTTTTGTATCCAGCCTTCTGCAGATGGTTCAAAATTGTTTGGTGACTAACTCCCATCTCCTGGGCGATGTCACAAGATGCCATATGCCGGTCTAACTCGATGTATTCCATGATTTGATCGGTATTTGTCGTCACAGGTCTTCCGCTAATGTTTGTGTTGTAATATTTTTTTTATAATTTTGTTCTCCTTTGTTTTGATTTGTCAGATGGTTTCGATAAAATTTCGATAAGTATTAGAGAAGACATCGATTTGGTCATGATTCGCATGGCAAATGAGAACGAATTATCCACTTTCACTGTAATTCGCTAACGAAAATTTGTACGGCGAATTAAATAATTCGAATTGTATTTGGAGGGTGAATTACGATTGAGAGAGGGAAACACGTAATTGGACTGTTGTGGAGATGCCGTAATAAATGATAAGCACACATTATGAATCGATAATTTTAGGCGCAAATTTAGATGAATAGAATATGAAAAAATTATGCAAATGTAGAGCCCAAAAAACACGTCCGACCTCAAAGAGATTTTATGACATTTTTTTTTTTTTTTTTGAATTTCCATATAAAACAATATTTAATTTTAGAAGGTATACATTTTAATTCGAAGAACACTATGCATATTTCTTTCCTAGCATCATTAATATGTACACTTAAATCATATGTAGATATCTACCTTATAATATTTAGAAGAATTTAATTATTCAAACAACTCTAAAGGCGATTTACTCAGATAAAATTATTATTTTCAATGAAACGTGCTGCTTCTTAACCAAGTATATGTAAATAAATGATAGTAGCTACATATTTTTCATGTTACTATTAAAAATTTTAATTAAAATTTGATTGAAAAATTTTTAGAATCAAATTTGTTGAAGAAGATAAGCTTAGAAAGACACATTTGAATTCTTATAAGCTATACACATACATACGGGTATATATGTTATATGTACATACATATGCCACCAATGTGTCATTAACTAATTTACGTATTTTTGAAAATTTCAAGAAATACAACCTAGAAATTAAATGAAACACTCACACGCACACATATATTGTTCATATTTGCCTGACTGTGACTATTCGTGTGATAATGACGAGATACTTACTCATCATAAAACGAAATTTTCTTTGGCTACGTAGCATTGCAGCAGTAATAGCCAAGTGCTCAGCAGTCTGTACTGTCATTCGGAAGGCCAGGGTATGAATCATAGTCCAACCAACATTCAATATTATAGAAAATTAATTTTCTAATAGCGGTCGTGACTGAGCAATGAATGTCAAGCCAGTATTTCTCGCATGAAAAAAAATGAAAAAAAAATACCCATAAGGAGCGATCGGCCGTTCCGAGGAGGCTTAGAATAAACTGGTAGATACCTCCATTTGTTGCAAAAACATCAAGACGCATACCACAGATTGAAGGAGTAGCTCGGCCGAAAATCGCTTCAGTAGAGTATGCAATAGTTAAAGTCACGCACGCTGGAGCAACCCTTGTGTAACCCTTGTGCAAGGTGCGAAACTTTCAGTGGGGCCTAATTGAGGAGACGTTAAGGAGGAGGAAGAAAATGTACGACTTATGGCACTATACGAGTTGGAAACGTTGGTTCGAATAGCAACTGGCCTCTTAAAGAACAACAAAGCGACTGGAGCTTATGACTTACCGGCTAACTAACATGGCGGTAAAGAGCTGACAAAATATGGTCGGAAAAAAGCATAGAACCTAAGTATTTTCTGCCAAATCCATTAAAAGGGAGATCAAACGTTCAGCGCCGATAACCGTAGGACAAGCCTCCTTCATATCGCCTATAAGGTCCTGTCGTGCATATTGTGTGAAAGATTAAAGCCCACACTCTATAAACCCATTGGACCATATCAAGGTGCTTTTAGATCTGGTAAATAAACTTTTGAAGAGACATTCACCTCTTTTTCGAATTTGATGCTGCTGTTGAGAAGTAAGTGTGGCTAGATCACGTCTTCCGAATAAATAAAACCAATACCCGCTGGTGGAAGCAGAGAGAGAGTAAGAACTTCACTCTGTTGGAAGGATCAGATGACCTGGTTTCACTTGGTATTTTCCACTGGCGCCAAATAATGCAACGAAGGGAGGAAAGACGCGCAATATTGATTCGGCTATAATCATGCAAGAGGTGCCAACGTCAATTAAAAAGAAGAAGAAAGGCCTAACATCTACAACGTCAGCGATGAGTTCCAACGCAGAATCACTCTTGCCAACAGGTGCTACTTTGGACTAAGTAGGCAATTGGAAAGTAAAGTACTCTCTCGACGAACTAAAATCAAACTTCACAAGTCGCTCGTCATCTCTGACCTGCTATATGGAGCGAAGGCATGGACGTTGTGGATATCTGCTGAGGCGACTGGCCCTGGGAGTTCTCAAGTTCAAAGTTCGGCGCAGACGATTGAGCGAAAAGTTGCACGAGATGTACGGTGACACTGATATAGTTTAGCGAATTAAGAGACAGCGGTTATGTTCGTGAGGGACTGAGACAGCGCTATGTCGTCTGAATAAGTGTAAGCGCTCCAGGTTTGAGAGTATTCGATGCAGTTCCCGCCGGTGGAAGCAGAGGAAGACCTCCATTTCGTTGAAATAATCAGAAGAAGAGCACCTTGATTGTACTTGGTATTTCCAACTGACGCCAAACAGTGAAGAGAAGAACGGTATGGCGCGCTTTTGTAGATTCGGCTATAATCGCGGAAGCATTGCCCACGTCAATAAAGAAGAAGAATGGGAATTCCGTCCAGGTGGTGGTATGCTGAAAATTCCACAAAACGGGATGTTTAAAAAACAATGTGAGTTTAACTATGGTTGCGGTCAAAGACACCATAATTACTTCAGGGTTTTTTTTCAAATGACGTACTGGTATAACTTTTCAGACTCAAATATTTACCAAAGATTTTTTTTTTAATTAAACCTAAATCCAATCGTTGAATGCTTTTCAAAGAAACCACTCAATGAAGAATCGTTTTTACAACTAAATCAATAATCAACACCTTGACACTGTGTTGGTGCAGACTACAATCGATATTAAATCACTCAATAATGCATTCCGCGCACTCAAGCGCACACATACACAGACACATACACAGACCCATATATGTACAGCACTATACTCAACACGATGGTGTTATCTTATCAGTGCCGCATGTTCATCCGTCTTTTTCAAATATTACATACGAGTATATTTATTATATGCTGACAAATGAGCAAACTGATATGAAATCTGGAAATGGTGAGAATGTCTAGAGTCTAGACAGGCCAATGGTGCGATCAATACTTAGAATTGGTGGATCACTCAATTTTCCTTTCAGTTGTGGTTTATAATTCGAAACGAGAAGTCCAACGCGCGGTGAAAAAAATATATATCATTGATATTTTAATTTAAAGATCAGTGAAAAAGCTAAAGGAACATAGAAAAAGCGTTCAAACGCCAAATTTAAAATACATAAAATGTTCCTGTTTAAATCTATTTGCGCTGACAGAAGAACAATGCATTTCCATTATCTCAAAAAAATCAATTTGGTTATATTTGTGCTGTTACTTTTCGACTTAAGTTCCGGAAATACCACACAAACAGACACGGTTAGCAAAACATTGCAAACCTCTAACCTGCAAACAAACCAATCTACAACAGTTGATATTACCACAGTAACGCCCAGATATAACCCCAACAAGATACCACGTTCCCTGCGTCTACCCAACACCACATACCCGCTGAATTATCATCTGCACATAGTTTCGTATGTACACCGCGAAGAGTTCCAGTACAACGGTAATATAACCATAGAAATTTCGGTGCGCGAGTCGACCAACGAGATCGTATTGCACGCGAAAAATCTCACCATAACCGCGATCTCGATGCGTGAGCTAAATACGCATGCCACATTAGATGACCTCACATATACATACAATGAGCGCGCAAACTTTTTAATTATTCATCCGATTGAAAACTATCAAGCCTTTGAGGCGGGTCAACGTTATCGGTTGGAAATTCTATACAAGGGATACCTTCAGAAGAACACTTTCGGCATTTACTGGATGGCATATAAGGATGAGAAAAATGGCACAGTGTGAGTACAGTGTGCGGATGTCTATGCCGCAGTTAGCAACAAATGAGAATTCAGCGTGCTTTTGAGTTCGGCTGTACTCGTACAGTGTTGTTCAAATTTTTTGAGACAAATAATCGGATGTTTGTTTCAATGTAAAATGCCATTGATAATGGATACAAAATGAACGTCTCAGCTACGCTTACAGGGCTGTATCCTTTTTATGAAAGGCTGCTGTATGTACTCAATATCTTCATGTATTTCATCTCCATCATTGAGATCTAGAATCGACGTTAGCCTGTATCTTTTACGTGTAATCAAAGGAAGAAGTCCCATACCGGCCATAAGAAATCAATAATCATCTCTCGCTAGCGCAATCCATTCATCCTGACTGCACCAAACAGTTCCATTTTGGGGATGAATAGGCTTTTTAACAATAATCATTGGGTTTTCCGAACACCAGATGCAACAATCGAGGTGGTATTAATCAATATGATTTTTGATGAAGTTTCGAATCATTTTCATGGATGTCAAAGACGCACACAGCAAAGACACATCGTTGTTGACAGTCGTTAACTTAACTTTATAAGTCTTAGGTTCCCATTCTTTGTGCGAAATACCGTGAAATGATTCTCTGTTGTTCTTTTATTCTTCGCCTCACTAACTTGAGCAGTTGGGCTCCATTTTTTCTTCCGATTTCTGTTTTCCGCTCCGACAAGGTTCTTCAGAACGACCGAAAAATGTTTTAGTTTTACGAACCGTCTCTGCCACGTTTTCATCATTTACTCGTATATGGTGAATTTTAATAATTTTAATGCATTGCTGAAGCGTTTTTCATTCCATTTTTAGCTTCAAAAGTGACATGTACCTGAATGGCAGGCTATTCAAAATAACACCTCCTATTGGGAAACCCTGTGTTTATTCAAATATTGATATGGTCTAATGAAATCAAACTTTTTCACTCTCTAGAAAGATAATTAAAAACAAAAAAAAAGTCGCACAAAAATCGCTGCCATTCAAACGCGACATTAAAGCAACGCGTGCTCTGGTAAACTCATTGCTATTTACATATCGACTTTGGTTTATTATCAAATTAATTACATATATTTGCGCATATGTACGTATGTATGTATGTACACTAAAGCTTAATTTTATGTACAAGTTTATACAAATTAATCTAAATAATTTTATGAACGGTAGCATTTGTACATTTATATAATATACATACATAAATATATATTATATTTTCCATATGGCGCATAGTTCAACGCCTATGAGTTGCCCCCAAAACAAACGAACGCATGCATATATACACACATACATATGCATACCAATACTATATGTGCTGATAACGTCTATCGTCTATCAATGAAATTATGTGTAAAGAGAAATCGCGCTGATAAGTTTTTATTTTTTATATTTTATTTTTCAAATGAAAACAATCCCCTAATTAATGCCGTACACTTGGGATTGATGTTGAAATATTTTGTAAACAAAAACAAGAACTACATGAATTTATTGTGCAAATGTGAATAAGCGAGAGTTGTTGGTGTGTAAACAAAAAAAATGTGCTAATATCATTGCAAAATTGTTATTGGAAACTTTATGCAATTTTAGTGTTATTTGCAATATTCGAGGCTTGGAATTATTAAAAATTAATTTTATGATATTGGAATTCCCTATCGAGAATATGTCACATTAAAAAAAGATTTAGGAAAAATAAAAACCAAAAATAAACAATAAAAAATTATACGCAAAGATACGGCAACGCACGGAATGTTTCAAAACCGGAGCAGAATTTGAGAGGTGATCTAGTGACTAATGCCCAGAGTATATTGAATTTATGGAGGCAACACCACTCCATCCTGTTAAATGGCCGTGAAATGCAGCATCAGGATATGGTGAACCCAAAACCCTAATCGATGACGATGGAACAGATGTTCCGCTAACTGACAATGTCGAAGTTCGAATAGCGATTGCCCGCTTTAAAAAAAAAGAAAGCAGCAGGGTCGGTGAAGAGCTGACAAGCTGTATGCATGAGCTACTTTGCAGAATATGGTCGGACGAAAGCAAGGCCGACGATTGAACTTTAAGTGCGCGCTGCCCAATACATAAAAAAGGGGACCCCACAGTCTATGCCAATAACCGTGTGATAAGCATTCTTAATATAAAGCCATTTATACCAATACCCGAGAAAAGGGATTCGATACAGACCAACTCATCATCGATTTGAAAGCAGCCTTCGACTGCTGGAAGGGGCAGCCTCTACACCGCCATGCCTGAACTCGGTATCCTGCCAAATCTTATATGACTACGTAAACTAACGTTAAACAACACCAAAAGCGCCGTCAGTATCGGGAAGGACATCTCCGAGACGTTCAAAACCAAACGAGGATTCAGACAGGGTGATTCTTTTTCGTTTGACTTTTTTAACTTTTTGCTGATGAAAATAATACAAGCTTCTATAAGGGTGTACAGCAGCTGGCGTGCGCCAATGATATTCACATTATTGGCCTCAGGAACAGCGCTGTGAGCTCTGCTTTCTCGAGACTGGATAAGGAAGCGAGGCGTGCGGATTTGGTAGCGAACGAGGGCCAGTCGGGATATTTCCTGTCATACATTATAAATGGAAAAAATACTGTATTGGAGAACACGTGGTACTTCAATATATCACTCTCATGAAGTAGTAATTTTCAAAGTTTTGGTGCCAGCCAATGCCAGAGTCCATATAAATCATAATATAAGAATGCTTTTCCAAAAGTATACAGACCGAATTTATGTGCATCGCTGTCTTGATGAGAATGTAATGAAATTAAAATTTTTTGAAAAAGTGTCAATAGAACCATGAGTGATCCGCGCTGTCGGGTCTATGTCATTGAAAAAGCGTTATTACTATTATCTAACCCAGGTTTGGAAAAGTGTATACGTAAACCATATTGTGTAATACCATTCGGAAGACTTGGGTTAACCAACATGAAAAAAAGTTATAAAAAATTAAATTTTCCAATTGCGATCGCCCTGGGGATGGAATTTTAGGCCTTCCTGGTGTATTTCTCATGTGAAATAAAAGTCGCCTCAATTATTCTTTTTTATTTTTTCCTTCCAAGACAAATACATAGCATATTAAAAGAAATGTCTTGTCTTTAAAATATGCCGAAACTGCCTTCTTGACCAATTTTTACCTCTCTGTTTTTTTTTTAACTTTTGAAAACAGGTAGTAATCCCGTTATAGGATCACCTTTGTACTTATAATCAATTAATAATATTCCTTCCAAGTCCCAAACGACCGTTGCCATGAGTTTCCCAGCTAACTATCACACCATAATCTTCTTGGAAGACGTTGTGCCCTTTTTATGGGACTACTTGGAGTCTTGTTTCAATTCAGGTTATTAATGCTGAGCTCAGTATCGTCAATTGTAATACTTAAAAACTCGTGAGTGCAAGTGAACACTCTACATGCTGTCGTTTTTGTTAAGGTGTGAGCATTCTCGGTACCCAACATGCGCAGACCTTAATCAAACGATTTTCGGCCGAGCAATTTGCTGTTTGCTGGAAAAATATTAAGACGAAAATCACATATTGGAGCCTCCGGCCTTGCGGCATGCATTTTATCCTAAGCCGCCTCCGAATGGCCGATGAATTTTTTTGAATGAGGAGCTTTGGTTTCATGTCAGAAAAATACTAAAAGGGCTTGGCATCTCCAGCCGAGAGGAGACCGCTGTTCGAAAGATTTAATTTCTATAATTATGGATGTTAGTTCGACCAGGATTCGAAACCTGACCCCCGTATTATAGTACGCAATTCTAACTATTTAGTTACTGGAGCCATGACATTTGTAGAACACCTTAGGCCTTTAGATGCTTTGAGCAAATAGGTTGTATGAGATAAATGATCGGCTGTTTATTTTAATATGTCTTCCCGTTTACATACCATTATTAATGGAGAGCAATATCAGCAAAATAGTCGCCATGGCTACGCTTACAGGATCGTGCATCGTGTAGCTTCAAGAACACCATTTTTTAAGTCTTCAATCGAAGATTTCGATGGCCAATATCAGGCACCTCTTCAAGAGATAACTTGGTCCCAGAACTTTCCACTTAAAAGATCGATGGGTTTGTTCCTTGTATGGCACGTAGTACCGTCTTGCTGAAACTAAACGTTGCAAAGATCACTAACATATAATTCATGCCATAAAAATCATTACATAAATCTCAATAGCACAATCCATACACCGTAACTGTTCGAAAAAGTAACGTACAATTACCTCGCAGGATAATAAACCTAGAGGATGGAGAAGCCTTTCAATAATAAATCTTGGGTTTTTCTAGACCCAGATTTGACAGTTTTGCTTATTTGCGTAGCCATCGAGCTGGAATTGGGTCACATCAGTGAAGATGATTTTCATGCATTTCAAGGACGCAGCAGCAAAGACACGACGTTGTTGATGATCGGCCGGCATCCAAAGAATGAAATCAATTTGGACGGCAGCAGCAATATTCTTAGTTGTTTTTAAGCGATGTGCACGTTTTTTATTCTTCACATCACTAACCTGTCCCAAAAGCAACATTTTTTCTACGAATTTCTATATTGCGACAAGGTGCTTCTCGACCATTAGAAAATGTCTCAGTTTTACGAACCATCTCTGCCAAGTTTTCACCATTTTTATGGTGAATTTTAATCATTTAAATAATAAAAAAAATTTTAATTTAAAAACAGTTAAATATTTGCCCAGAAAATAACAGTGTCGGTACTTACACGTATGCTTGTTGGCGTCAAACAGAGTTGTACGTATGTCACAGCGGGAGATTAACAATGAAAAGGCGAGAAAAAAGAAAAGAAGCAAAAAATCCAGAGAACTTTATGACAAATATATTTATTTAAGGAAATACAACAGTGAGACAGCATTGCAAAGTTTCCAAAGCAAGAAAAATCTTAAAAATGGTGCAAAGAAAGATTATGACTAAGAGCCGTCTACTAAATACAATATATCAAAATATAATATTAGGTTTATAAAAAAGTCATCCATTATTTTTGCATTAAATTGAACTAACCGTTTTATGTGAGATATGCACCGTTTTGCTCGCTGACTTTTTTGCTATTTCGAAGGAAGTTTTAATGGGGGATAGGAGGGAGAGCATTTTCAGGATAAGCGGAAGATGACGAGATAAATGTTAATTTTAAAGTATTCATCGATTCAAATAATTCTTATAGGAGTTCGGGAGTGAACTCTATAGCAAGAAATTAGAGGTGGCGCAGGGTTGAGTTCCAGATGAGAAAATTGAAGTGGTGCGGGTGGCCATTCCAGCATTACGGCTGTTCAAAAATGATGAATGTTATTTTGTAAGCCAAGCTTAGGAACTGGCTTACTTCAGCTGCTAATGATGCTGTTAAGCGTCCTGGAACACAAACATGCAGGCCTACGAGCGCACACACGACACTTCAAGCTTATTGCTGCACTGTGCACCTGAGAATTGTACTTATGCATATATGCATCAAATGAAAAGAAGCAACTCCGAATGCCTAAAAGTCAGCGAGGAATATAGTATGCAAAATGTATAAAACTTTTATACCTGGTGGCAAAAAGATTTGGACAATCGATTTACCTAAGCTTTTCATGGGGCCAATTTTTCAGCAGCCAAAGCAGTTGCTATAGAAATGAACAGATGGTAATCACTTAATGCGAGGTCTTAAAAAGAAAATTATAAAATGAATGCATAAAAACATCCCAACCAAACTCTCGGTGCTTCTGACGAGTCACTATCGATATAGAATATGTACTACGGCGTTGTCCTGATGAAATACAGATCCTCACCTGTTGGCCAAACCTGGACGCTTCTAGACGATTTCTTGCTTAAGACATTCTCTTAGCTGACAGTACATATCCCTGTTAACAGTTCAGCTCATAGTGAATGAAACCATGTCAATTCCACCTAACTCACAACAAAACCTTCCTGACTCTCAATCGTGGCTTGGAGACAGTTCATGGTGTCTCACTGCCCTATGACAACGATTCTTTTCATTTAACGTTGTTGTAAGCGATCCACTTTTTAGCACCACTCAAACGCGTTTCAACAGCGATTTGCAGATGGAAATTCGGTAGATGAGCTTTCTTCATGTTAACTCATGTGGCACACGTGTAACGAACTTTTTTCAAGTGGTTCCAAAATATTTGCTCCTCGCCAATGAAAACACTGCTCATATGACGGTGGGTCAGAATGAGTTCCATTGTTTCATTGATATTTTCTATAATTGGCCTTCTACACCGTGTGGCATCTTCTACATCAAATCAAATCAAAATTGGCAGAACGTAATCAACGAAGCCAAATATGTGCTTGATTTACTGTTACGGTCTCTACAGACCATAACATTATTCACTTATGGTGTCCGCATAAAATAATGGATGAGATCTTAGTATGAGAATATGAATGTGTGGAAGGTTGGCGACATTGTTTTCTCTTTTCGCTTATTACGAATCCAACTACGCAACAGACAAAGACAGTTATTAATTTGATATCTGTTGTCCTCTAAAAATTCACGCTTTTCTTTTATGAACTTAATAGATATGTAACGGCGACGCAATTCGAGCCAACAAGCGCCCGCTTGGCCTTCCCGTGTTACGATGAGCCGTCATTCAAAGCCAACTTCACAATCAGTCTCACGCACAGCAGTTATTATACGGCTATCTCGAATGTGATGGTGCGTCAAATTGAACCGTACATTGACGTGAATGCAGCGCTCGGTGGCATGTAAGTACTATGAACCATATAGAGACACACTTCAAAAACACGCATACTCATACAAAACATACAAAACTCATACGATTTTGTCGGCCGTCTGGGTAAGCCAATTAATAAACCGCAAATTCACAAGCAATTGATACTCTCCTCATCCATTTCACGCATCTTCATACATGTTTGTAGGTATATAGGTATTAAACATGATTTAACTAAAGATGTATTCGTTCAATTTTCCCCCATCACAGTGATGGACCAATGTTGACAACGACATTCCACACAACACCCGCCATTTCTACTTACCTGGTCGCTTTTGTCATCTCAGATTTCGTTTACATTTCGGAGGAATATCGTGGCATTTTGCAACGCATCTTCACCTCACCACACGTTGCAGATAAGGGACGTCGAGCTTTGAAAAATGCCATACGAACGGTGTCTACGTTTGAGGACTACTTTGGTATCGATTATGCTTTACCGAAATTAGATCATGTACTGTTGAAGCGAAACTATGGTTCTGCAATGGAAAACTGGGGTTTAATCACCTACAATGAAGACAAGCTGGTGCATTGGGAAGGTGCTGATTTGCACAAAAGACAAAGTGATATTCTTATGCAAAATCACGAAATTGCCCATCAATGGTTTGGTAACTTGGTGTCACCGGAATGGTGGTCGTACGCTTGGCTGAATGAAGGATTCGCCACCTACTTTAGTTACGTCGTAACGGATATGGTAATGGACAATACTACTTAATAATGATTAGAGAGTTAAAGACTTATTAGAGTAATTTGTATTTTTCAGCTCTATCCGGATTTCAAAGTTATGGAATTCTTCTTGACTGACATAGCTGAGCGCGCATACAGCTTAAACTACATTACTGTACGTCCGATGACGCATTACGTAGAAAACAACACGGAAATACTCTCCATATTCGACATAATATCCTACCATAGAGGTGAGTTTCACACATATGTAACTTAAAAAAGAATTTAGTAGATTCTCGGTCGAGCCAGGATACAATATTTTAAGGTAGTTTCATTCTTCCTTTGCACTCGGCTTCATAACTATCTGACATTAAAGGTGTATCGCCTTTTTCGTGCTACCAGAAATAATATATTTTCTTTGCATTAAAAGATAGACAAAGCCCTTAAAAAATATATATAAAATAAATTTCAAAAAACGTAAAATTTCAAATTTCTGTATTCCATTCTTATTAGAGTTCGACCGCGACTTTGTACTCATGAAATTTAAAGATGATTCTAGTAAGATTTTTTTTGGGTTGCTAAGAATCAAAACCCTGATTTTTTCAAATAGCTGGATAACTGATCCTCGGAAAGAATATATATAATTCTTTTTATAATTGTCGTTTTGTAACCGCTGAAGCGATTTTCCGCTCCATATATCCACATACAGTTTCCACACATTGACCTAAGAAAACGAGTTATCTATGTTGCAAATATTAAGTAACTCAAGCATTATATATGATTTGTCTGAATAGATCGATCCCAAGTTCACTTTAAGTGAATATGAATCTGTATTTAATTTTCAAGTCCACTTCCGGTAAATATAATATATTTCTTATCGGATGCCTACCTCATACGCAAAAGGCACCCTCCGAGTTTGAGGTCTGTATGATCAGTGGTTGAGCTAAGGGTTGATCCATCAATCACTTAAGCTTTTATATATGGAAAAGATAGGCATATGTAGTTGCATGCATACATGTGTATATAAAGATACATATATAAATTCTCTGTAATAAATTAATAAACAAAAAATCCCCAATAGGAAATGTGGCTTCATCACACATTTATGTGATTTCAAAAAGAAACTACCTTCAATCGTATGTATCATGGCCCGAGCCACTCCTCTTCGATTGGGGGAGTGTGTTCTCATTTTTTTTTCTTATAAATAAAGGATTCCCTTATCCGAATAGCTGAAAGATTTTTAAGAGAAGAATAAAAGTCAAAACTAAAAAAATCTCAAAAGTTTAAGGGAGTAAAAAAATAGCTGACAATGTTCAAACAACACGAGTAGCTCGAAATCAGTCAGTATTTTTCAAGTTAAAGAATATTGGTAAATAAAAAAAACAAATTTTTTGAAGATGTATTATGCGAATCGGTTAATGGGTGAACACGATTTTGAAAACCTTTGAGTTTAGTTAGTTTTGGTTTAAGTGTGTAATGAGAATTTCAAATACATCATCAAGGTCCATATATGAGGTGTAGTAAAAAGAAACTCATTATTTTTGCATGAAATTGAAGGCTTTAATTTTAACTTTTAAACGGTTTTTAGTGCAATCTTTAGCTTTTGGGCAATCGTAAGCACTGTTACATGACGGTCGTACTTGACAATGTTCATGATTTTATCGACATTTTCGACAATTGGCCATCCACTCCGTGAAGCATCTTTTAAAACAAAATTACCGGTATGAAACCGAAATTGTGCATGAATGACTGTTACAGTATCCGGACCATAAACTCGATTCACATTTTCAGCCGCCTGGCTTGAGTTTTCACCCTGTTTGACGCATACTCAACCAAAACTGATTCAAATCAATCACAAACCTGTCAGAAAAACTTTTTTAGTACGAAATATCGTTTTTGTAATGTCATCTAGAGGAATCCGATCGGACTTATACAACGCGGGATACAGATAAATAACGCCATCTATTGGAAAAATAATGGATTTCCTTTTACTACAATCCAAACATGATTGATTATTGGTTCTTATAACCAAAACTTCACAAAGTCTCCAAAATTTCTTAGCGGCTTCAGCGAAGGTATTATGACCAAAGGCATCGGTAAACCTAATTTTTTTTCAAAGATTTCAACAATTGAGTGCTTTCATGAGTAATAGTCTTTATTATTAGACGGCAGTTATCACCATTTCAATACACTGGTCAACAAGGAATATGTCACAGCAACTATGATAGGTAATCGTGTTTTGCCTACAAAACCTGATTAACATAAATAGACATCTATTACCCGGTTAGAGATTTGCATCTATCCAAAAGCAATTAAAACTATTGAGTTGAGTTGAATTGATGCGGCTGCAGTGAGACCAGTATGACCATTGTGATACCGTTATGAGGCTTCTGTCTTCACCTTTTTAAATTTTCGAACCATTTTAATGGCCTTATAAAAGTAACGAGATCTCCAATTTTCGCGCAAATGTCAAGCCAGGACAGTGACAGAAATAGCGTTCAATAGACTCCTCCTCTTCTTCGCCCCTACAGCTGCAATTTTTTTCCCATTAAACAATGGCCTGTTATTATGCCTGTCCTTGTAGCAAAAACAAGTTTAAGTTTACATGGTGCGCATGTCTCCTCTTCTCTCTAGCATGTCTACCATGCAATTGCCTGATATGTCACTGCGTCCGGATACTTTTAATGTGGAACTTCTACACTGCAGCTCGACTGTCGTAATATATCGTAACTGATTATCCTGCTACCGTATAATTGAACAGTCTCTCGGAGGCTCCCGTGATTGCAAAAGATTATGCTTGGGAAACGCTGCAGTGCTCCGTTATTCTAGTGCTCATATTTATTGTGAGCATCGAAGAGTTGACACCACAGTCCACTTTATCTTCGAGTATTTAGTGGTCTGTTAATATGGCTATGGCTTTCTGATCTGAGACGTTGATGTTTTCCCACTCAATTTTATTTGGGATTCTCGTCGAAATAATAATGTCGAAGCACATTTTGGAGGAGGTGAAGTCTAGCCACATCGGCACTTCTGCAAGAGATAATATTTTAGCGTGTCCTAGGGGCTAGTTTTAAATAAGGTTATAAGATATTACAAGCTTAACTTCCACACCGAACATGTTTCGTTTTTAGTCAAAAGTACTTGAAAACCAACATTCTTCAAGATATGGCTGTGATACCGCCCAATGTATGCCAAAAGGTGTACGAAGATTACCTCAAACCGACCGAAGTTTGCAAAAATTCGCGAGGCATTCATCTGATGACTTTATAATAAAACAGGAATTTCAAGAAAACAAAATTATTTTATACACATTTTGTGTACGTTTATTTTCGAAACGGCAAGATGGTAGCTATGTATAGTTTTCAAATCTGCGGTAATAAAAAAGTTCTCTTTGGACGGCAGTTGGTTCATCATTTGTTCTAAACCAAATAAATTTGAGATGTTTCAATGCAGACTTCTTTTTGAATACTTCTAGAGGAAATTTCTAAATTTGATTTATCTCAAATACCATACTGTGTTGAAAAAAATTGTTTCCAAATTTTTCTGTATTCTTAAATTACTAAAAATCAATAATCAAATAAAGATCTGAAAATTGCTATATCGAAATGTCTAAAAATATTATCTGTCTTTAGCTTAGGATTTTAGAAAATCTCAATTTTTATTTAACTAATCTTCGAAAGGACGAGTTTTTCACCGGTAAGAAGTGGTTTTCGAACTAAAACTTGAGTTTTCAAATCTGCCAAGCAAAAACAAATCAAATCTTTTAATCCAATTAGTGTCTGTCCTAATTATTTAAATTATTTTACCTATTTAGGAGTTTGTTAGCGCATAAAGGGTGATTTTTAAAAGCTATAGTAAAGCTTATAAAAAAACACATTAAATTCAGAAAAACTCATGAAATCTTTATTTGAATCGACAGTACGGTCCATACAATTTAATGTTTGAAGATTATTTCATGCAACTGTTGACCATGAATGCGCCTCAAATGCATCAATTGAAACGGGCTTGTCTGTATAGACACTAGATTTAACATCTTCTTCTTCTTCTTAATTGGCCTTGAAAACGCTTACGCGATTATAGCCGAATCAATTATACTGCGACATTCATCTCTTTTTTAACATAGTTCCACAAAAAATAGTGTAAAGGCGTTAAATCGCACGATCTAGGCGGTCAATAGACCAGTCCCGAACATGAAATAAATTGCTCACTGAGCTCGCATCTCAATAGGTCCATTATTACGCGTGCTGTGTGGAATGTGGCACCGTCTTGTTGAAACCACATGTCATGCACGTCAAGCTCTTACATTTTGGGCAAAAAAAAAAGTTTGATATCATCTCTTAGTAGCGCTCACAATTTACAGTTACGTTACGATTCGCATCATCTTTGAAGAAGTACGTTTGCCACTTGATAAAGTAAACCATCGAAATGGGAGGCGGTGTACAACAAAATAAATAAATTTTATTTACTCGTTTTTTAAATCATAAATATTTGAGCCTAATTTTGGAAAATATCCCTAAATGACAAAAAAAGCTGAATGAAAATTAAAGGGGTCACACATTTTAGTTTTTATTTTGTTCTCAAACTAACAACCTCCTATTTCGCTGGTAATAAAATTTACAGGGTGACAGTGAACTCAGAATACGAAATAGTAACAAAATTTACTGAATATTAAATTTTAATACCAAAATAAATTTCGTAACTTGGACAGAGTAGGTTAATTAGTATAATAATTAATTTGTGAAGGCCCCACGAGCATAATGTTAAAATTGGATTTACAATCTTTTGTGCACGTCCAAAATGCTCTAATATTCAACTGGAAAAATTGTTTCAATGGAGTTTAAATTGTCTACTTAATATCCACTCCATTTTTTATCTAAGTTACACTTGATTTTATTATTACTATTTTTTTTTTTGGGTTGAATTGATTATGCTTGAAAAATTGCTTAGTTGGTGTCTCTTAGAAAAATGTCCATGTTTTATTTTTGTTTAAAAAATATAAGCCTTCAAACTTTTTTTTAAAGAAATCGGCTTTTTTGGAAAATTTAAAAATTTTCTTTGGGCCCGAATCGTTTTTGCTTATGGCAAATCAATGAAAGGCTACAGATCCATAAGGAATGATCTTTCTTTTGCATTATTTTGAGAAATTTCAATTTAAACTTCCCCCTTCCCTAAAATTTGCTTTATTGGACCTTTTTTATAAAAAAAATTGTTTGGCAAGTACTTTTGAATTTTCTTAGTGATACTTAAACTAAATACAATTATGAGTTCAAAAAACAATTAGATGCGTTTAGTGGACGATAATTATGTTATCCTAATGCAACAAGATTTTTAAAGAATTTTGATATTTTTAATAGTTTATTTATGTCAGACGTAATATAATATATTTGTAGTATAAATCCTACACTGAATTCAACAATTTTGTTAATAAAGATAAAATAATATAATAAAACTTTTTTTAAGATTTAGGTCTAGGAAGTCTCTATAATTTTCAAGAGCATATCAAAATCATATACATTGCAAGTTTTTTTAAGGTTTTAACCCAAAATTTTACATCCGAAAAATTGGTGTTAAGAAGAAAAATCATATATTACAAAACAGTCTTCCGATTTCGATGATTCTCAGTGCATATATTTTTTTTGAAAATCACACTTTTCCATATTTTTTTGACAGATTTATTACACAAAATCTAGAAATCAGTTATATTTATATGTTATAGTAGCAAATGATCAAACAAATGAAATAAACTAATGAAATTAGCAGCAAAAGAGAAGGTAAAGGCAGACAGACGGCCAGTGAGGGTTCTTCTTTATCCTCCTTCTTAATATAAAAAAGCATATAACATAAGAAGTTAATCGGTAAGTTTAATAAATAAAAATAATCCGAATTCATTTCTGCAAAGTTTTTCAAATAAAAATGATTTTCTTTATTGAATAAATCCACTCAATTTATGTTGTCACGAAAAAGTGTTTACATTCAAAGGGCTTTGAAAAGTATAGTATTTTATATTTGAAGTGAGAAAGTAGCCCGAATCAGTGAAAAACTGTATAAAATTGCATTTTCTCATTACTAAAGAGATATGTACGAAAACTATATTTCCGACTGTATGGTGCCGATACCTTGAAGAGTAAATATATATTTGTAAATTGAACAATTTTAAATAAAATGTCTTATTATATTAACTTGAAGAAAATATCATCAATAATATAGAAATTACAGCATAAAATAAACAGTTTCCCCCCAATTCCACTCATAATCGACAAAACTCGCTTTCAAAGCGATTTCGATGTCGGTCTGAACATGGTATAAAATACTTAACTAAATGCTTGGTTCGAACTCTTAACCCCCCTTTTAGCTATTTTAAAATTGTTTTGCTGTTTTTAAGTGCTTTTTTAGGGGCTTAGCTAGGTCTCTGAAAAAATTCTGGCAACACTGCTACTCGTCCTTTCTTAATTAATAAAATATAAGTAAAACTAGTCAAGTCAGCATTGGTTTAAGTTAAGATGAGCAAACAAAGGATACAATTAAATTGGGTAAAATTCATTCAATAGTCAAAACAGTTGAACCATACTAAGGGCTGAAGTTAAACTAAGTAAGTAATATGTAAAATTAACGAAATACCTCTACATATACCTACAAAACAATCTTATGTTTTTTTGTCTTGTATTCTTCCAGCTGCATGCGTAATCAAAATGTTCCATCACGCTTTCAACCAAAAGACTTTCATAAAAGGCATAAGTCAGTATTTGCGAAAATAGTAAGTTTTTCTTCAATATGTAAAAGTCTTGAATACCTTCATCTTTCGCATCAAATCGAACTGGTCAATAACATTTAATATGAAGAAATTTTCTCCTTCTTCTCAGTCAGTATAGTTTTGCTAATGAGTTGAATCTAATCGATGAACTTCAAGCTGCCATTGCGACGGATGCCACGTTCACTCAAGCCGCCTGGAGTAAAAATTCTGTGCGCGACATTATGCTGTCTTGGACTCATAGCAGTGCCATACCGATCGTGAGCATTTCACGTGATTATGAATATAATACCATTACCATAAAGCAACGATCTAAGGACCAGAGCTCTTTGGAATATTGGTGGATACCGTTAAATTTCGCAAGTGCAACTGCACCGGATTTCAAGCGAACGGCGGTCGATTACTTCATGCCACCCGTATCAGAGGTAACACTGAGTGCCAGTGAGTTGGGCATAGAGTTGCGCATCGACGATTGGCTCATCGTGAACAAACAACAAACGGGCTTCTACCATGTGCTCTACAACGATGCAAATCTTTGGCTAATCGCTAAGCAGTTGCACGACAATCACACTGTTATACATCCACTCAATCGTGCCGCCATCTTCCAAGATCTAGGACATCTCATACAAAACAATGACATGGAATCAGTGGACGTAGTATTCGAATTATTAAGTTATCTACAATATGAAGAGGAGCTCATGCCATGGAATCAAGTAGCGGATACAATTGTCTTTTTGGGCAAAAATCTCTTTGGTACGCTATCACATGAAATGTATAACAACTTTGTGCGCCAGCTGATTAGACCAATATTTATTCGGCTCTTCGAAACCCCGTGCCATGGGAACCTCACAAATACGGAATTGTTGGCGAGACAAAAGATTATGGAAATGGCTTGCTTGGTCGATTTGCAAGAATGCCTCACCTATACACATGCTAAGGCGCACGAGTATATATTTGGTAGTCTGAAAATTGGAAATGAAATGGGCTACTATGCCATGCACGAGACAATACTCTGCTTGGGCGTAAAATATCTAAGCGACGAGGAGTTCAATGCAATATTGAATACATTCTCCAAAGATGATCGCGATACACATCCTTGGTATGATGATCTTATTTACGCACTACGTTGTACGCAGAGTCAATCGCATCTACAGCAATATTTGAATCTTCTGTTGGGTGAGAACTCCACCAAAAGCATTATGGACGATATCGAATCTATGATGTATTTATTGTATTTGTTCAGAAGTAATCGTGCTGCACGTCCGGTCATGTGGCAATTCATTGAAGAAAATTATCGCGTTCTCTGTGGTTTTCCGAAGTTCGTCGAAAATTTCAATCGTATAGCCGAATACACACCGCGAATGCATCGTCAACAGGTAATTTCGAAATTTTCCATATGAATGGCATTGAGATTCTCAAAATGTATACAAAAAGCTAAATACCTTTTTTGCAGTTCATTGATTTACGTATGAAAATTGCTGAAGAACTTAAAAAGGTGGATCGAGATGAAATTCTAATCGCTGCCGATTCGTCACACATTGGGCAGAAGGCTAAGGTTAGCGATACCTTTAATGATAAATTCAACCATCAAATCTACGAATGGTTGAAGCGGAATCAGCCGCCCACATATGTGGCGTCTTTGGGTGCCCGCAGCAGCGCTACACAAATTGGACATTTGTTCCGTGTTGCGGGGAAGTTTCTACGCAAAGTGGTTTCTAAGAAAAGAAGTTGACATTTGTAATTTATTTTTTTACTTCTTTTATAAAGAATAACTTAATAATAAATTATTAATTATTATGGATATTTGTACTTGCTATGTATGTCCCAATTATTTAGTAAGGGAATTGAATAAGTTAATTCGATAATATCGGTCTGCATTTCTGAATACATACTGCAATATATTGGTAGAGTAAATTGAATTTTAGACAATGCCAAGTTTGGTTTGGCATTTAGATATCAGATCGGAAAGAGGTTTGTCTCTTTAGCCACTTCGCCAAAAGTCCGCCACGTTCATCTCCAGAAAATAAAAACTTCTTAAAAGGTCGGTTCGCTGTGAAACATTTATCCTCGCACCTTACTAATTACAGTATTTTAACAACAATCGATTAATCCCAATCAAAAAAAAAACCAAAAACCGAATTAAAACCAAATGAAGATAAATAATTTTAATTTATTGCAATATATTTTATGCATTCTTTTCAAAAATGTTTAACGAGAAAATATTGAGCGACCTCAAGACGAACTTGATTCGAAAGGATTTATTTTTTGTTCCTGATCAGCAAGCCTCAAAAATTTGTCCTCAACTACTTTGCTGTTTCAACTCTACCGTTAACTGCTTTTAGTGTCAGTCAGTTAGCTTGAATTAATTTTTAGACAGTAAATTTAAGAAATCACATGGTAAGGAATCGCTTTTTTTAACCCTCCTTTGTTATCGAAGGGCTCGTAGAAGTCCTTTCCGATTTTGACGGAGCTTCTGACGTTGCTTATCGTTAGTTTATTTAGCCGTAAAAGTTTTGCGGTGACTCCAAATTCGCCTAGAGCTTTTCAGACTGTCGAGGACTGCTTTCAAATCTACGAAGAGGTGGAGTGTGTCAATTCTTTTTTCACGGGTATTTTCCAAGATTTGGCGCATGGTGAATATTTGGCCTATTGTTGATTTGTCAAGTACTTGTTGATTTACCACGTCTATAGCCATACTGATAAGGTCCAATCAGTTTGTTGAAGATGGATTTTAGTACTTCACACATAACGCTTGATAGCACCTTATATGCGATATTGCGGAGGTTTATCTCACGCCAGTTGGCGCAGATGTGGGCCTAGTACACTTTAAAATCGGAGGTTTGAATCGTCGGTCATGCTTAAGTGCGACTATATTTTTTTGCAAAGAATCTGATGCATGCACCTTATCAGATCTTCACCACCGTATATATTCGAAGCCCGGTCGCTGATGCATCGACGTTTGTGGTTCGCATCTCGTCTTTGTCGAGTAATGGAACATCCGTTCCGTCATCATCGATTGGGGAATCGGACTTTCCATCTCCTGGTCATGCACTTTCATTCAGCAGGCAGCAGTGGATTTCGTTTGCTGCTGTACGTAGGGAGCTTGAAATGATGTCCAACTGTTCCCTTTCATCAAGTTCCTGATAAGTGCTCTCAGAGAGTAGGCATACAAGTCGAGTAGAACACCGTTCGGCTGTGTGTTGTAATTGCACCGGCGTCGAAACTGAAAAACGCGCTGAAAACATCATGACATCATAATTGTAAATCATATATAGAAAATCTGACGCCAAACTATAGCAAAAAGCTATTCACTAAGAATGCGCATAAGAACTTCAAGCCTACAGTTATTAGACCAATAATGCTAAAAGATCCTTTAGGAGTTGCACTGGTAGTGTTCTTTGCACCCTTCAATGCAATTTGCGAGCTGAGTTACTATGCCAACGCTTGGAACAAGTCGCAGACTATATTGATATATTTCAGTTAAAGCTGCCTTACAGACAGTTTACCGTAAAGTAATCGGAATTTATAACTGCGGAGTTTCCACAAAAAAGCTTAGGGTAGCGTTCTTGGGCCCATATTAAACAAATGTCCTAGAAATGCATCGAGAACGTAAGGGATCTCATCTACTTCTCCTAGAAGAATGGCTGGCGAATTGGTTAATAGTCCTTTGAGTAATTTTGGACGATATATCGCACAACTTTTGAGGGGCAGAAAAGGCTACAAAATTATAATATTTATCTTTTATTTTTCTTGCGATTTTGAATTATTTAATACTGGAAAGAAACGAAATATGTCATTTGAATTTATCTACCATTAACCCGGAAAGAGATAACAAAGTGTTAAGGTCAACAAAACACAGGCAAATGATATTATATATCTCGATATACAATTACATAGACAGCTCCACCTGAAAAATACACAAAGATGCCAATATATTACATTAAAATTGGTTAGCTTAAAGTTACTTTTACATAAGAAATCTTTGCTTAAATTTGAATAAAAAAGTATTGATTTACATACAATACAATTATAAAGTCGATTCGGATGTCTGGAATTCAACTGTACCAGTGATATTGAGAAAATACAAAACAAATACAGTACAAAATTTCTAAGTGTAAAAACGGGTGCACTATGCTACAGTCGCAACGTAAGCGTACCTTGGTGTCCTAGTGTCCTTGGACCAGAACGGAATATCTATTGAACCGAAATATCAGCTTTGAACCCCTTAGCTAGCACCCAGGAATTAACAACAGCAGCGAAGAAATGTTCCTGTCTTCTAATGAGAGCGCCCTGGTGTTAAAATTGCTCTGAATTAGATCGAGCTAAAATGTTTTTAATTTAATATTAATATTTTTATACTTATTAAATTTTTTTTATATAAAAATTATTAAAGGTAAATTTAGAGAAAATTGTGCTATACCACTGGCGGCCTCCAAAGCCCTCATCTATCAATAATAATTTACACTTTCCGTTTCAAAGAAAAATAATAATGATAACGGTAATGATAATGTACAACTTTTTTTACATAAAAGCTTTCTTAATCTTTGTTTATGGGCCTCAACGAGTGTAACAGCAAAAAAAAGTATATGCTTTTTCAAGTCATTGTTCTGTTGAATTGTTTTTGGGTTTCTCTATGGAATTATTTCAGACCATATATTTTTTGGAAATAGTCGTAAATTCTTCCCAAAAACAACTACAACGCGCCAAGTTTACAGCTGCAGAAATATCTGAGCACTTGATTGTGGATATGAGGATATGTAGATAAAAGAAAAAGTGAAAAACAACAATAAGTAAAAGCGGCGCACATGTAGCTTAATGGGATAACCATTGGCTCGTGCTGTGGGCATCCCAAATTCGAATACAATTCGAACGAAGATATCTGGAAAAAGAAGTCTGATGAGGAAACGTGGTGATTTCCGAATAAAATTACAGCTATAACTTCTACCGTCCAAAACTATTGCCGTAATTTTTTTCACTATTTCCAAAAAATATATGCTCTGACACAGTTCCAAAAAAAAACCCAAATAAAAATTATAATCTTTGGAAATTTTTTTTGAAATTGAATGCTTTACAGTATCAACGGAAAATCTTTCTATAAATGAGATATTTTTACTTATTTGATTTCAAATCAAAATCTTGCATTCTCGATGAGATATGCGCTATTCCGCGGAGGTCCGAAAAAAAGTCTTCATTTCACTCTCATCCCATTTACCTTCAGAGTACCAGATAACAAAGCAGACAAAACCGGCACTAAAGAGGATTTTATGAACTATAAATTAACCCACGATTGAGGGGAAAAAAATCTAATCCGATTAATGGCGTCGTGTTGAAAAAAGTTAAAACTTAGAAATCTGACGGAAATCCATGCGAAATTCAAAATTTTAATCCGATCGAAATATTCGCCGAAAATTTGATGCCTGATATTTTGCTGAATACGAGTTTTTACGATAAAAAAAGTTTCAAGTCCATCGGATCTTTATTTTTATATTTACAATGACAGCAAATTTTGAAAACACTGTTTTCAAATAAATGCGTTTGAAAAATATCTTAAACTTTAATTTACATGACTGATCTCACGAGTGTCAGGATCACTCCTAAAATAGATTTATTTAACGGTTGAGCGCCTTAGTACAGTTCTATTTTTCATTAAATCTATGCAATGCGTGAGCGCCACGCTTTTGAATTAATTAAATCTTTACTGCAATTGCTTAATACCAAATATTTGTATAAAAATTACTCCCGAAAATTGATTAAAACAATAAATGCACTTATCAGTGTACAAATTGATATGAGTTTTTGTTCATAGTGAGATTGTTTAGAGAGTTCAGTAGGTCAAAATACGAGTACTTACGCGTAGAACTGATGGGCTTTTCAATTCTTTTTCAGTAGCGGTTTAAGTTTCAAGTCGAGTGAGCCGCGTATTAAAAGAATAAAGTATTTAGTCAATATTTTTATGATATTAATATTAATTTTTTGAAAATTGCATAACAACAAAAAAAAGAGGGAAATGATAAAAATAATATATATATATGGTCGCAAGACAGAACGTTTTCTCCACTTCAATGAATTAAATTTGGAAATATTTGTGCTATTACTTTTTGCTATAAACTCTGCCGACTCCACCGATAGAAGCAGTTTAACTAACTTACACTTGAAGACGACTCAACCCGCTGTATTGGATATTACTACAACTACGCCCAGATATAACCCCAACAAGATACCACGTTCCCAGCGTCTACCCAATACCACATACCCGCTGAATTATCATCTGCACATAGTTTCGTATGTACACCGTGAAGAGTTCCAGTACAACGGTAATATAACCATAGAAATCTCGGTGCGCGAGTCGACCAACGAGATTGTATTGCACGCGAAAAATCTCACCGTAACCGCGATCTCGATGCGTGAGCTAAATACGCATGTCACATTAGATGACCTCACATACACATACAATGAGCGCGCAAACTTTTTGATTGTACATCCGATTGAAAACTATCAAGCCTTTGAGGCGGGTCAACGTTATCGGTTGGAAATTCTGTATAAGGGATTCTTTCAGGAGAACTCTTACGGCATTTACTGGATGGCATACAAGGATGAACGAGAAACAGACATCCGTAAATTGTTTGAACGTTGGGAGTGGATAGCCGAACATGATGGCGAATACATAATTGATTAATAAAAGCGCTTTCTTCAAAAAATTTCAATTTTAGTTTGCACTTGAAATCGGGCACGAACTTATGCACTCATGCAATATTACTCCCAGGCTTAAAGGCAGTTTGGTTACTTGAAAACAGCTGATTTGTTTGTAGATACCACATAAGTTTCCGCGATAACATTTTTTACATAGTTTTTGACAAGCAGGAGATAAGAGATATAAGTCTATATCCTTCGGTCAAATTTTTTGGTTTATTTGGTTTCGGTATGGGTACAGTAAGGGCAGTTTTCTTGGCCAGGTGTTTTTCCTTTAAAAGAATATAGACATCCTTCGAGTTCTTCTATTGAGAAATGTCGTTCTATTGTGATTTTAATTTTGTGATTTTAATTTATTACTTTTCTCAATTTTTAATAAAAAAAAAATTTTTAGATTCCCTTCGTATGTATAAATAGATATGAATATATGATCAAATATTTCAGATTATAATCAAATCATTTCGAACAGTGCTCTACTCTTGCTCATCTGCAGAACTCCAACTGAATCATTCTAGATTTGTCTTCCTCTTACTATCTGTTGTACATACACTAAAACCTTCTATTTATACAACAGATATGAAATAGCGACGCATTTCGAGCCAACAAGCGCCCGCCTGGCCTTCCCGTGTTACGATGAGCCATCATTCAAAGCCAACTTCACAATCAGCCTCACGCACAGCAACTATTATACTGCCATCTCGAATATGATGGTGCGTCAAATCGAACCATACATTGACGTGAATGCAGCGCTCGGTGGCATGTAAGTACTATGAACCATATAGAGACACACTTCAAAAACACACATGCTCATACAAGGCATACAAAACACATACGATTTTGTCGGCCGACTTTGTAAGCCAATTAATAAACCACAAACACGCACTTGACATTTACGCGTCCGCTGCACACATATTCTAACATCTAGGTATTAGATATAATTTAACTGAAGATGAATTTGTCCAATTTTCCCCTACCACAGTGATGGACCAATGTTGACAACGACATTCCACACAACACCCGCCATTTCTACTTACCTGGTCGCTTTTGTCATCTCAGATTTCGTTTACATTTCGGAGGAATATCGTGGCGTTTTGCAACGCATCTTCACCCCACCACACGTTGCAGATAAGGGACGTCGAGCTTTAAAGAATGCCGTGAGGGCACTGTCAAAGTTCGAAGACTACTTTGGTATCGATTATGTCTTGCCGAAACTAGATCACATTATTTTGAAGCGTAGTCCAGCTGCTATGGAAAATTGGGGATTGATTACCTATGTGGGAGATGCGCTCATGCATTGGGACGATGTTGGTTCCAGCAAAATGCAATTCGATGTTATTGTGCAGAACCATGAAATTGCCCATCAATGGTTCGGTAACTTGGTGTCACCGGAATGGTGGTCGTACGCATGGCTGAATGAAGGATTTGCCACATACTTTAGTTACGTGGTGACCGATTTGGTAAGCATACATTATGAAAGTTGAAAATAAGAATTTCGATATTGCTTCTTTAATTATGCATTTTAAGCTTTATCCCGATTACAAAATTATGGATTATTTTTTGATCTACGTTGCTGATGACGCTTACAGTACGATTGGCATACGTCCCATGACTTATTACCTGGAAAATAGTAGTGAAATACGGAAAGTATTCGATTCTATAACTTATCATAGAGGTGAGCTTTGGTTTCGCTTTAAACATAAACTTTCCAAATGACAGATATTAATTTTGGAATAAACATAGAATTCCTCCCCTGTATGTTTTATCCAGAAATCGTTGCCGGAATCCCACAATCAAATCTTTCCTACTGAATATTTTCAAATAATTTCGGCTAAGTCCTTTTAATCAGTTTGATGAATCTAACACACTTCACATCTGCGTCCCATGCTCTCAACAAGTTTCTCATATTTTGCTTTTGGTATGGAGTACCACTATCCCTTGACGTCCTCCCACAAATCATCGAATTTTTTGCAGATATTTTTGTTTTAACATCGTTCCATAAAGTTTCTATTGGGTTTAGGTCTGGGCTTTGCACAGGCCAATCCAAAAAAACGAATATTTTCCTTCTTAAGCCAATCTTGTGTGACCTTCGCGGTATGCTTAGGATCACTATCCTGCATAAAAGTACAAATAAGTGGCATGAAGTCAAATACAAAGCGGTCCATTTTATTCTTTAAGATGTCCAGATATTGATATTTGTCTATTTTTCCATTTATCCGCACAATTGGTCCAACGCCATGCCAGGAAAATGCCGCCCAAATCATGATATTACCGCCTATATGTTTTATGGTCTTTTTATTGTACCTAGGATTCAAATCTTGATCTCTTTGGCGATGAAATGTGGTTTTCCCATCCGGTTTCATTCTATTTATTTTAGTTTCATCGGTCCATAACATATTATTCCAAAATCTTATAGCCCGGTTCTCAGGCGTCTTAGCAAACTTTAACCGTTTTTCTATATGCCGTTTTGACAGAAGTGGGTTTTTGCGGGTATTGCGTCCAAAGAGCCTTAAACGCCTCCGATATGGCTTCTTCATATAGTCAAATCGAATTCTTCGTTTATTTTCAGCATTTTTTGCCTAGAAAATTTAAAAGGATCTAGCTTCTTTTTTCGTAGTTTGGCTCTGTCTTCAAAAATCGCTGTCTTGCGCGGAGCAGGTGCCTTGGATTTGTTTTGAGATAGATAATCTTCACTCTCTTGAACTCTATTTTACGGGAATAATTCCAAAAAACTTCAATTTCTGAAACACTTTTTCCTGTCTTAGCGATGTTATGAGTAATGATTCTTTTTTAAGGAGAACAGTGTTTACCGCAACCCATTTTAATTCAATCTGCATAAATTTTGATAGAACTGAACTTTAAATATATTTAAATTTCACTAAAAATAAATAAAAAGATACTTTCAAGATCCAACCGATGACTGTGCTATTTGCGTGACCACCACTAACTAATAGCACGATCAGATAAATCGACGAAAAAAATATAATTGCTAGGATAACGGGAATGTACGAAACGCACTGTAAACTAGATAACATAAGTAACTATTATACTTTTTTTTATTCAGAAAAATACCGTTATGTTCCTCAGAAGAGTTACATTTTCTCGTATGATACACTTTGTGCTATTTGCGTGACCATGGCTGTACGTATTCGTTAAATAACCGTAAGCTTGTTGCTCAACTGAATGGCTTAGCTTTGTTGTTCTTTTAGTGAGCATAGTTGTGTGATGAAGCGTCGATTCTATCGTCATCGTCAGGCCATTCGGATCCAACATCTTCGATGTATGAAGAACTTCAAATCTTTCCCTCACTTGGAACTCTCCTACACAACGCTCGTTGCAACCTTGGAGGAATGAGTGCCAGAACTCGGCATCCACCGCAAATTTCTTTCTAACCACTCCTAAATGACAAATCCTCAAACAACATTATTCTGTTCATTTTAATTTTTCCAGCCGCCTGTGTAATCAAGATGTTCCATCACGCTTTTAATCAAAAGACTTTCGTAAGAGGCATAAGTCAATATTTGCGAAAATAGTAAGCTGTTCATCAATCAAAAATCAAAACGAACTGATCAATAACAATTAATATGAGGAAATTTTCTCTTCCCCCTTAGCCAGTATAGTGTTGCTAATGAGTTGAATCTAATCGATGAACTTCAAGCTGCCATTGCGACGGATGTCACGTTCAGTCAAGCCGTCTGGAGTAAAAACTCTGTACGCGATATTATGCTCTCTTGGACTCATAGCAGTGCCATACCGATCGTGAGCATTTCACGTGATTATGAATATAATACCATTACCATAAAGCAACGATCTAAGGATCAGAGCTCTTTGGAATATTGGTGGATACCGTTAAATTTCGCAAGTGCATCTGCACCGGATTTCCAGCGAACGACCGTCGATTATTTCATGCCACCCGTACCAGAGGTAACACTGAGTGCCAGTGAGTTGGGCATAGAGTTGCGCATCGACGATTGGCTCATCGTGAACAAACAACAAACGGGCTTCTACCATGTGCTCTACAACGATGCAAATCTTTGGCTAATCGCTAAGCAGTTGCACGACAATCACACTGTTATACATCCACTCAATCGTGCCGCCATCTTCCAAGATCTGGGGTATCGCATTCGAAACAATAACTTGCAATCTGTGGATGTGATATTTAAATTATTAAGTTATCTACAACATGAGAAGGAGCTCGTGTTATGGGTTCAAGTTGCCGATACTATTCTTTATCTGTGTAGTACTCTCTATGGAACTTCCTCGCGTCAAATGTACACTAAGTTTGTGCGCCAGCTGGTGAAGCCTATGTTTACTGAGATTTTCGAAAAGCCGGTGCAACAAAATCTCACAAATACCGAAGTGTTTGCGAGAGAAAAGATTATGGAAATAGCTTGCTGGGTGGATTTGCCGGAATGCCTAACATATACCCACAACGTAGTACGCGACCGCTTAGTAGATGGTGAGGCTAGACGCAATCAAAAGAAATATTATGGCAATAGTGATTTCAGTGATACGTTACTACTCTGCTTGGGTATGAGATATCTTCACGATGGGGAGTTTAATGCAATGTTGAATACACTATCCAACGGTGATCGCGATACACATCCTTGGTATGATGATCTTATTTACGCACTACGTTGTACGCAGAATCAGACGTATCTACAGCAGTATTTGAATTTCTTGTTGGGTGAAAACTCCACCAAAAGCATTATGGACGATAACGAATCTATGATGTATTTGGTATATATGCTCAGGAGTAACCGTGCCGCACACACTGTGGTGTGGCAATTCCTCGAACATAATTATCAGGTACTTTGTCGTAAGGATTGTTTTCTTAGAATCTTCAATCGAATAGCGGAATACGTTCCCCGATCGTATCTTGAACAGGTAAAGTGCCCGACAAAAGATTGTAATTGAATGAGCAGGAGGTATTTGATTAAAAAAATGTCTTTATTTTATTATTATTTTATTATTATTATTTTGTCTTCTTCACAAGGAATCAAGGCAAATTCACACATAGTAGTAGCAAGAATACAAAAACGAAAAGACCATATATTTTGTTTGTTTTCATAATTAGAATCCAAAAAAATATTTCAAAGTATTTTGTTTTTGTAATTTGTTAACCTTTCATAAAATCGTCTTCATAAGGAATATTTATTGTTTCACTATATAAATATTTTTCTTATCAAATGAGGTATTTGGAGAAAACCAAATGAGAACAAAAAATTTCTTTATTAAAAAAAAAACATTTAATTTTATTCTGAATATAAATTTTTTTTTCCATAATCTGCCTTGCATGCATGTGTTAGATTCAAACGACTTTTAAAAAAATAACTTAAGGCAAAAATAAATAAAGAAATACGTTTTTTTTCCTTTTTGTGCTCCGCAGTTTAAATATTTACGCCAGAAAATTGCTCTGCAGCCGAAGAAAGTGGATGAGAATGAATTTCTCATTGATGTCGACTCGCCCAGCATTGGACGGAGGGTTGAAAAAAGCGAAATCTTTGTTCAGAAGTTTAACAATCAAGTTTACGAGTGGTTACAGAAACATTACGTCGAAGACGGAATTATTAATTTCATATAAATTTTTCGTTAATAAATATTTTAAAAACAATTGAAATATCCTACCTATGTACATATGTATTTAAACTCATATTTATTAATGAAAAAAAGTTGATTTTGTTCTGAACATCAGCTCCTGTTCCTTTAATGTTAAAAAACAAGGCTTTAATTAGCAGTTAGGGGGAGAATACTTGATGCCTTGAGCACTAGACTCGTAAAAAAATCTAGGCTGTAGCCACTCGAGTGGCACCTATACCCCGAAGGCATTTAGGGCTACACAATGGCAGATAGCATGAGGCTGGAGTTTTTTGTTTCAAGAAAGATAAAAGAACTCTGTACCGAAAATCATGTAGACCATTCTTTTCTATTCCTCTTCGATTGGTTTATAATTTGCGGTCGAACTTTTCCTCTAATTTGTAGATGTATTTCCAACAAAAATCGTCTCCGAACGGCCGATGGAGTTTTATGAGAATCCTTTCATTTCATGTGAGAAATACACTCGGGGGGTCCCAGAAGAGGGATGACCTCAATCAGAAAAGTCAAATTAATCTTTCGCTTAAATTAATCTCCATAATTTTTGATGCTGGTATGTCATGGAAAGAATTACATCTAAACAACATTTACAAATTGTTCAACTCTATGACAAAAATTTACGTTTCGTAAAAAATATGTGTTCGGTGCGCTTTGTCAACTTATGGTCAACATAATCTACCTACTGAACATTCTATTCACATATTCACCTCCAGTACGCTGTGAAGAAAATACAGCAGCCATAGCTCAGAGTGCACACGAAGACCATGGAAAGTTAATTCGGCGCCCTTCGCAGCAACTTTACATCGAGATCTTAAATTGAGAGTGTACAAAATACAGCTTGTGCAAGAACTGAAGCTGCTCGACTTCCCCAAGTGGTATCGCTTCGCTCTATGGGCTCTTGAAAAGTTCCAAGAAGATCCGACATTTTCGGGTCCAATTTTGTTCAACGATGGGGCCCATTTCTGGCTCAATGGGCATGTAAACAAGCTAAATTGTCGCCTTAAGGTCGCGTGGCTTATGGGGCGATGAAATCATCGGCGACCATTATCGCGCCTCCATTCAGGCCTTGTAGCAAAACATCACGCGTGTCATTTTCCAGTTTCCAGTCGAAATGCTCGAACGAGTCATAGAAAATTAGACCCCACGAATGGAACATCTGAGACATAGCCGCGGCCTACACTTGAAAGAGATAACCTTCAAAAAAGAAAAGCCAAAGAATATTCTTTCGAATTAAATTTCCAACGTTTTTTTAAAGTATAGAACTACAAAATGGATCACCCTTTATATAGCACCTATCCAAATTCAAATCTTTTAATACAATTTTCAAAATTGCCGAAGCTTTTATCATATAAACAGTTACGTAATGTCCCCATATATGAAACCATTATTAAATACATTTTTTTTTAGAATCTTTCATTTTCAATATAGAGCAATAAAATTCATTGCTTATTTGGTCAAAGGAAATACTGCAGCCTTGCGAACTCTGCAAGGACGGAAATTAAGATAAGAACGAGTAGTCGAATCTTCAACCTCCCCTTTAACCAACGATATCATAAGATTTCATGACTGTTTTTACTAAAACTTCCAATACATTTCATGTTTACCCTTTTCACGCGAAACGTAAATATATTAATTACGCAGTGGTTTCCATGTAGAATCTCACAAATTACTTAATATTAATACTCACAGGGTGCCATAGCAAAAAATCTTTTAACAAAAGCATGGAAAAGCTCTCATTGGAGCTTTTATCCGCAGCTAGCAATAAATTATTTATAAATTATAGCATTCAGGAATCAAATTATTTTTCGTTTTATTGCATTATTTCGCTACAAAAACGTACAATCAAATACTAAGCAAGCAATACTATTTGAATTTGTTCAAAGAGTAAAGATTGTTAATTATGTGATGCGCTATATTAGTATGAACTCCTTTTTGGGTATCGAAAAATTCTAGAAATTAACCGAAACTGTTTAATTTTACTAACACTTTAAACTCTCAAAAGCAGTTTTATTCACATATTAACCTCGAATTCATAAAATAAATATAAAAGAATGTTCTGAACTTTCAAAAACATAATGAAAATATGTACAAACTTTAATTTCCTTCAACTCCTACCTTCAGAAGCCTGCTTAATGTTTCGCATACTCTTATGTATGTTTTGATAGTTCTTTGAAATGGCTCGATGAAATGTTTTATATTTAATTTTGTTTTTTAACTGAAAGGTAATTAAAGTAATAACATATTTTTTTGTTTTAATTTAATATTAATTTTATTTTATATCCTTTATTTTACTTTATATTATTTCAAATTATTCTATTTCGTCTTAGTTTATTTCATATAATTTTAATTAAATTTATTATTTTTAATTTTTTATTTTTTTATATAATTTTGTATTACTTTTTTAAGTTTCACATTATTTTACTTTATTTTTTTATTTCGTTTATTTTATTTGATTTTAATTCATTTTATTTGGTTTCATTTCAAATTTCTTATTATATTTTATTTTTTTTCATCTATTATTACTTTATTTTATTTCAAATTATTCTTTTAATCTTTTTTTATTTCGTACAATTTTTATTAAAATTTATTTTTTTTTTGTCTTTTTTATATATTTTTTTTTGCTTTATTACATATTATTTTATTTATTGAACTCTTTATATGGTTTATTTTATTTCATTTGATTATCTTACATATTATTTCATTTAATTTTTCTATCTCGTAAATATCTTTATATTATATTTGTTTATTTTTATATTTTATTATGAATTTTGTTTTACTTTATTATTATTTACTTTATTTTATTTTATTTTTTCTCTTTTATTTTATTTAAGTTTATTTTTTTATATTATACCTTTTTTTAATTCGTGTTTTTTATTTTATTTTATTCCATAAAACTTTTTTAAATATTACTTGATTTTAATTATTTTATATATAATTATTTTTAAATTTTATAATTTATTTTGTTTTACTTTATTTTTTTTTCGTTTGTTTAATTTTGTTTAATTTAATTTTATTTTATTTTATTTTAATTTAATTTATTTTATTTCATTTTATTTTGTCTATTTTGTTTTATTTTATTTCCATTTATTGCATCCCGTTAAGAAGTAACTTTCATCTTCTTCATCAACTTCCACTGACGTTTCGCATTTATGCCTAATTCAGAGTACTTGGCGATTTTTTCCGTATATGTTTTTTGAATATTTTTATTGAGAGGAACCGGAATATCAATTATGAATGCAACCTTACTAGCCTTGTCGAGCACAAATATGTCTGGCCTGTTGTGGTCTCTCGTGACATTCGTAAATCATCACAAAAGAGAAGGATGCTGGAATCTTCGTGTACAGGTTCCGAAATGTAACTGTAGTACGTTGTTTTATTTTGGTGAAACTTGAACTTCTGGGCAAGTTACATATGAATATTTTCGCCATGTCATTATGCCGTTTAAGGTATATAGAGTTAGCAAGCGTAGTACGTCAAGGGATCTAAATGATTTAAAGTTTCGCTTCTGCTGTTACGTCTACGACGTTTGTCTGCAGGGGGGTTTATGTCTCGAATTACGTACTTGGCATAATTTCTGGTGCGAATATTGCTCGGTTTGTGAGCCATAAGTACGACAGTTTTTGGTCGACAACGGGCTCAACAAGTCTTTGCGATAGGCACCGTGAGCTGCCATTTTAGACCACCTCCGAAGTTGTTCGTCCGTCGATATCGTGTTTTTGCTTTCATAATGCTGATACATTCGCAGTAGAGTGTAGTTAGCATCAGCTGATTCTACGGCCTGAGGGATCTCAGACTGTGATGACCCCTTCCGCTATCTTTTCTGGCCAACGTCGTTCGAATCACCGATGATGTGCCTTATATTTTGACATGACTGTTTGAATTATACGCAGCTGGAGAACATAGCTCGGTTGTTGGCCATTTTATAATTCCGAAACTAATTAATGGCATATGTCTGGTTTCTCCCATTTAAATGGGTTTTGCCTAAAGCAGTTAATCCCCTCTAAACTCAGCCACCAGTTTTTTCCGCATCTGTATAGTATCTACACAATTGCTTTGCATGACTCCAAGATACTTGTCCATCTAAACTCTCTCATTAGATTCCATTTCTTTTACATCAAGTCTGTCAGGCTCAATGGGATTGTCCCAGGGTATAATCTTTCCTTTTATAATAGTGATTTTAACGCATTTATCGAAACTATTAGGCTTTTTAATGTCATTTGAGAATGTTGTGACACATCCCAAGAGCTTTCCAAGATAGTTTGGCTGGGCGGCATAGAGCTTGAGATCAACCGCATAGAAGAGATGGCTCAATCGGTATCTTCTATTCTGGCCAAGTTTCACCACATATCCATATCCAGCATTCCGTAGGATATGACTGAGAGGATTCATGCTGGTGATGAACCAGAGTGGGCTGAGTGAATCACCTTGAATGATTCCATTACTTATTTTTATCTGATTAGTGTACTGACCAGTTCCAGTTCGTGGCAATTTTATTCTTGTTCTCCAATATTTCATAATTTTTTCTAGGAAAATTATTATATTGGGATTGAATTTATACAGATGCAGTACCTCGATAAGCCATGAGTGGGGCACCGCATCAAAAGCTTTCATCCAATGCACGCTGGTTCGTAGAGGTTTCTGCTCTGTTTTTTAGCTTGACCAAGTATTACTTGATCTATAACCAGCTGCTTTTTACATCCGTGTGATGATCTTATGCAACCTTTCAGCTCTTCTGCAATCAAGTTGTTTGCTTCAATGTGCTCATAAAAGATGTTCTCTTAGTATTTTATAGATAACCGGGAAACATGTAATTGGTGTGTACATTGTTGGTTCAACTGGGTTACTGCTTTTCGGTATCATATAGGTTGTACCTAAGGTAAGGAACTCAGGTATTTCTTCCACGCCGGTAATTATCTTTGAAAAGATATCAGCTAATTCGGCATGAGTGCCCGATAGTTCTTTGAACCAGTGCGCATATATACTGTTGATTTGCTGATAGGTGAGAAATCAGGGGTTGGGACATTACAGTACTTGTCCTTCATGTGTGATATCCAACTTGCTGATGGGTTGGTCCTTTGACTTTGAGACCAAATAGAGGACCAATACGCTGTAAAAGCTTCACTAGAGAATTGTTCTGTTTGGCTTTGGGCATTCGTGTTTGTGTTTGATTCTAGCCTCCTTAAAAATTGTTTTTGATTATTTTCAAACAAGCGGTTATGTTCTCGTCGGTTCATGGATAGGCTATATTTCTCCCTTCTGGTACACAAAACTCTCAATTTCTGCTTTAGTGTATCTAGAGTTCGAATGGGCAACTCTTCGTTGGATATTATAATTCTTACATATTTTTAAGACTTGACTTCTAAGGCGTCTTGAGGCGCCGCCTCTCGCAAATGCCGTTAACTTTCCTATTCTTTTACGGTGTTCTTCTATGTTCTTATCAAGCCTTTGTAACCATATCGGCCCGCATATTTTATTTTTACGAGCTGGTTGTCAAAGCATTTATTGGTTATAATTTCAGTAACTGTCTTCGCAATGCAATATATCGTGATTACCATTTCCTCCAGATGAATCTCTTGGCTGAACAATTCAGGCAGAATTGCTACTTCGAAATGCGTCACTAGCTTTCCGAGTTTTGCCGAGTTATGGAGTTTAGGTAACTGCGGTGAACTTGTCACTTTTTCTACATCTATTGAATCATCACTTTCACTTGTTGGATTAGAGTTGTGGTTATTATTTTCTTCGTTCAATAGATTTTCTACTCTGGATACCGCCGCATTTTCCGGTACTTCTTCAGAGCCCACCACTAAATCCGAGTTGGGACTTAATTCTTGATCAGACAGGTTCTGTTCGGAGACGTCCATCTGCGGGTATTTTACAATAAACTTCTCACGTAAACGTTTTCTAAAAAGTGTTTTATGTGTTTCTATTCTTGTAATTTCCCGGCTACAAATAGTTTGTTCTATTTTGCCCAGAGTTGTTGTCTGGGGTCGAAATAAGCCACCTTCTAGAAAAGTATGATTGGAATGATTATTTAATAATCCGAGGTTTGATTTTATATCTCCTGACCGGTTTTAATACAACCCCGTCCCACATGAAGCGCAGACGTTGACCGAATCGCCGCTCACTCTGAGACAATCCCGATCGGATTTGATGTCCAATTTTGGTCCGCGAGTGGAATTTAATTTCCCACCTTCCCTGTATATCTAGCGAGCGTTCCCCGATCCGCCACCTGGGAACGCGTCCGATGGGAGACTGTCAACTCCGCACGGAAATTTTGTTTTACTTTATTATATATTATTTTATTTTATTTTTTATTTCGCTTTTTTATTTTGTTTTCTTCCAATAATTTTTTTTCTTTAAATATTATTTTATTTTACTTCTTTCATATTTATTTATTTTTATATTTAATGGTTAATTTTGATTTGCTTAATTATATTTGGCTTTATTTTTTTTTCGTTTAATTAATTCATTTGACTTTATTTTATTTTGTATCATACTTTTTCATATGATTTTTTTTTAAGTTAATTTTATTTTATATTGCTTATATTTATTTAATTTAGTTTTATTTTGTTTTATTTTATTTTATTTTATTTTATTTTATTTTGTTTCATTTATTTTATTTTATTTTGTAAATATTATATAAATTTTTATATCGTATTTCAATTTTTCTTTATTTTTTAATTAATTAATTTCCTCTGTTTTTTTTTAATTTTATTTACTTTTTATTACGTTAAATACTTTATTGAAATATTAATTTTCGATTATATAAGACTTGTGTATATACACACATACATACAAAATACTAGACTTCAGTTTTATGGGATTGATAAGCAAGTATATTTTGCATTTATTGTGCATGATAGATTGTGTTTAAATCATAAAAGGCTATCGGTGTATTATAGTTGTTTTATGGTTTCATGTTCGATTAAAAAAATATCTAATGTTTGGCCAGAATATATTTAACTGCTAATTTCGATATATTTAAAATAAAAGACTATTATTATCCTTAGTATTGGTATCATGAAAATATTTCATTAAAACTTGCACTTCTGGTCGCCGTACAGTACGCAATGTATTATCCCAGTAAGACAGAGCTGGCGTCCTTCACAAATAAAAGCTTAAAGCGGGATATATATAATTATAATTATAATCTGAATATATTATAAGATTTTCGCTTTTTAAATTCGTCTCGCCTACAGCAACGAAAGATCTTTGCTACAGCAAATGGAGAGGTCAATCTTCATCACTCACTTTATTCACTTTATACCTATATTCAAAGGATAATTAATTGAAAATAAACTGTCTCCTTTTCTTAACAAAATATGGTAGTTGGAGCTTCAAATACGAGATCAGCTTTTGTCAAATACAAATCATAATTGCTTCCGTCGCTCTTATTAATCTTGAGTTTCTTGAGATGTGGCATGGATTCAGTGTAAACAAGTGACAAAGAAGAGCCGTTTTTATTGAAATTTAATTTACTAGAAAACAATTCATTGCAACAAATTTTCGTAGGTAAATACTTTATTTTAATTCGAAGCTTTGGTAATCAATATTCTTATAACTAGTAGTGGTCGGAAATGGGGTATGAGAGGAAGAACGGCGGGCAATAAAAACGAATAGGGAACCACATTGTACGTGACGGAAAGGAAAATGATTAGATATCATTTGTTATTACCTAATTAACAATAAACAGAGCATGCGACTTTAAATATGGCACATGAACATTCCTAAACATTCAAATAAATAAATTTACACATTCCCAGAAGCTCGCGCGTACTAAGTGAATGTGACGTATTTATATCCACAGATTGATTATCGCAGTTATCATTAGCTTCTTATCAACGATAATGATCCGATAAAATACAGGCTAATATCAATAATATTTATACAATGGCAGTACTACTGGAGGAAATTTAAACATTCGGAAAAAATAATTCTTCCAAATATAGTTTTCTCAATTTCAATAAATATATATATATATTTACATATGTATATATTTACATATGTGTATATGTATATATTCCATCAAAGCTTCTTTAAATATTCTCTGATCAAAGATCCCTATAGCACCCAAAAGCTAGATGTTCTCCGCATTCTCTTACAAAGACCCAAATTCCACATAGTTATTGGCCTTATTAATATCCAAGAGAGAACAAAGGTCCTCTAAGTAGCAAACAAACATCCGTTTGGAGGCAAGCTAATGAGAGAAGGTGAATTCCCTTAGGGTTTGCGACCGACCGTACGAAAAAATAAACTATAATACTAACAATAAACCTAAAAATTGGAAAAAGCTTCGGCGCCAACAAGGGAAATCTGGTGATCGATTTTCAGAACATACTTCTCCAGCCTACTGAACGTCAGTGAAAATGCAATACCCGGACATGGCGAAACCGGAACTCCAAATGATGATGAAAAAGCCGTTCCATTACCCGAGAATGACGAGTTTTGAATAGAGATTTGCCTACTTCAAAACAACGAAGCGACTGGAGCTGATGACTTACCAGCTGAGTCCTTACAATTTACTATGCAGTATTTGTCGATGGAAGCAGAGGAAGAGGAAGAACTCCACTCCCTTGAAATGGTCAGGTGAGGACCAAACTAGTTTTCCTTGGAATCCTTGGAATGGTGCGCTATTGTATATTCGGCTTTGATTACTTAAGCATCGCCCACACCAACGAAGAAGAAGAATAGCGAAATTTCTTGAGACGATACCGTAAATAGATCTCTTTTACTTTTATACAATTAATTGCCCCTCTTTGGGATGTCACTGTACAAACTAAATGGCATACCATAAAAATATTTCATTACAATGCAAAATGCTCAAGATAGCCTAGTTAAAATGGGTGTTAAGAGACCATCATAAAGATAGCCTATCCGCCGCTTTTACTGCCAGATCTCCAGTTGTAAAGGCCAACGATAAAACGCACAATAATCCATCAGCACAATAAATAGTGCAAATCAATATTGCTGATAGCCAATTTCACAGACTTGCACTTTGAATGGAAAACCTTTATAAAACACCGTCGCAAATATTAAACAAGTATTTCCTCTCTTGAACTACGGCCGTTTGGTTCTAGAAATGATTCGTAACAAATCGAAAGTGAGCGCGCTGTGCTTCGCTACACTGGCCATTTTCGTTGCCAGTCTGACGTTAGCCGAAGCGACTATAGGATATCTACCGCCAGATCTTGAGGAAAAAAGTAGCGCAAGAATCGCGGAAAAGGAAGCGGGTATCGACTATAATGCGCGTGCCGTGGATAACTATCGTTTGCCGAACAACACCGTGCCTATACACTACAATATCGAGTTGACAACTAACGTGCATAACGGTACAACAAGTTTTTCGGGAAAAGTGCAAATTATACTCACAGCCACCGAGGATACAAGAACGATTGTTCTGCACGCTCGCCAACTGACCGGCTTTATCGCTACCATTCAAAATGGAACTCTAGCAAACGCTGCGGCCTATAATATGACCGTTTCTTATGAAACAGATCGAGAGTTTCTCTCTCTGACGCCAACGAACACTGCCATCACTTTGTATAAGAACACTACTTGGACATTGACCATTACGTATACTGGCAATCTGCGCACTGATAGGGCAGGATTTCATATACTATCTTATACCGATGCACAGAATAGACTACAGTAAGTTTATCAAAAACTCAATTCAAATAAAAAATTTGCTTAATAAAAATATTTTTAAATGCAAATGATGATGATATAGTTATATGGCCACGACACAATTTGAATCTACGAATGCCCGACACGCGTTTCCCTGTTATGATGAGCCAGCCATGCGAGCAACGTTCGGCGTAACAATCAGACACGATCCCTCTTACAGCGCTTTATCTAATATGCCGAAGAACGAAACTGCAAGCAGGTAAGAAACGCTATTTTGCCGACAGTATAGGGTTGTCATATGTTTCCTAAGGACAGAGTAGGTCTCGACATTAGAAAACCTGTTTGTGTGTTTAAGTAATATTCCAAATATTTAACATATAACTCTTTATAGTATCAAATTTAAAAATTGCTGTGAGCCAAGTTAAGATATGTGAGCCGAGCTCAACGAACAATGTGCGAAATGAAGGCAGTCGAAAAGGAAAATCTGAAATGACTTAATGTGTTTCCCTCCAGTAGCTTCGATAGAAGCGATCGAGTTTGGAATTTAGAGGGCCGAGCGCCTACTAGTGTTCTGAATACGCCTAAGGTTAGCTTAGCGGAATGGCAACCACCAAAGCAAAGATTTCTTGCAAACTACGGTCTGCTGCTGCACGCGTTGGCCTTGAACTAAATCAGCAAACTACTAAGCGAGCACTATCACGTGCACGGTTACGTCCTTTCTCTGCTTCAAGGTTAATCGCCAAAGATCAGTAGCGCTTCTTGCTTTTTCAAGAACACAGCTTTCATGCACGGCCGCGTTAGCCGAGTGGTAAGCATGGCGTACTGCTATTCGGAAGGTTCGGGCTCAAATCCCCGTGTGACCAACATCCCAAAAAATATAAAAATTAATTTTAATCAGTTAATTAAGTTAAATTTCCTAATTGGGGTCGCCCCTCGGTAGGGAATGTCCACCTCTTCGAGTGTATTTCTGACATAAAACAAAAACTCCTCATTAAAATCCATCAGCCGTTCGGATGCGGCTTAGTATAAACTGTAAGTCCCTCCATTCGGTGGAAAAAAATTAAGGCGCAAAGCCACAAATTGGAAGAGGAACTCGGCTGAAAATTGATTCAGCGATTACAAAGCTCGATTATATACGTATTTATATATAACTTTCATACACGACTAGAGTTTTAACTGAGCATTTCCCATTGTTATTCACAAATTGATACTTGCGTTGGGGCCGAATCCGCACTATCGAAGCAGTCCATCGATAAAAATGGTGGTTCGGTACAGACTTATGACATCCTTAGAATTGTGAAAATTTGAATTACATTGATTTATAATAAAATAAATAATTATTATTGGTTTGCAGCACCGGTGTTACAGTATTCCAAAGGACAAATATCACAATCCCCACATATTTAGTTGCGTTCCATGTATCCGATTATGCTTATACCGAAGGCTCACTGCACGAATTGCCACATCGGCTTTACTCGAAGCCACAAAATGTTAGCGATCATCAATTCGGTCTGGTCTCGGGTATATTGATTTTACAGAGCTTAGCCGACTACTATAACGTATCATTTGCGTTGCCACAAATGGCGCAGGTGGCGGTGCCCGGAAAGGGTGGCGCAATGGAGAATTGGGGCTTGGTTACATATGGTGAGCAGTATTTGCTTTTCAATAAAACCACTTCGACGACCAGCACACAGCTTAGCATTGCCAATATTATTGCGCACGAGTTCACCCATCAATGGTTTGGCAATCACGTAGCGGTTAGATGGTGGACGTACTTGTGGCTGAAGGAGGGTTTCGCTACACTCTTCTCATATCAAGCGGTCGATGAGGCAAGTATTTGTGAGTTTTTAAACTGGATCTGATATAATATTAATTTTTACGTTTTATATAACTTAAATAGGTTTATCCCGAATGGGATGTCTATCAAACGATGCACACGTCTGACTACCAATCAGCGCTGTCGAATGATGGTATTGGTACGGTGGTTCCCATGACACACTACGCACAAACACCCGCAGAGATATCGGCACGTTATGGTACTTCTTCATATGCGAAGCCAGCTTGTGTGTTGCACATGTGGCAACATGCTCTAGGCGATAAGGTCTTCCGTGCGGGTTTAAACAAATACTTAACGGACAAGTAAGTACCGTTTTTTTATGTAGTTCCTTTCCTTTTTGGAATCAGCTTTATCAGCATAGAAACTAACGATCTTTTGCGTTCATTTTAACATAGCAGTAGTATGTTATTTATATTTATGTAATAATAATGTAGTAAATTAGTTCAACAGCTTGCTTGATCAAGAAAAAGGGATTAAGTGCACTTAAGCCTATTGGCCCATTGTGATAGCTCTGCTAAGGAGATTCCTTTCACCTTCTTAAAACTCAAACCAATTGGTATAAGCAGTGACAGGGGTACTGTTCCACCGATTCCTCTTCATCTATGTCCCTGCAGCTGCGGCAGAAGTCATTTGAGGAGCAGCCCATCCTTCTGCTATGAGTCCACATAAGAGAGTGTCCGGTTATTGCGCCGTTTGTTATGGATGTCCGGCTTAGAATGCCAAGTGCATTCTGGTGAAGGATAGTATTGACAATTATTTTGCCAAGGAAAGCGGTATACCCATGTCATGTGCAGAGTTTACTGTGGTTAAGACTTTGCCCATTTCTAGTCAGTTCGTCGGCTACGCAGTTTCCTAGGATATTCATATGAACAGAGACCCAAAAGGCGGACGTTTTGTTTAGACTCGAGAATTTTTAAGTATCTCTCTGCATTTTTTTGTCACTTTTGAGGTGATAAGATTGTGTTGGAGAGATTAAATGGTAGCCTAGCTATCAGAATATACTCGTATTGTAATAGGCTGATTTAACAGATTAGGGATGAGCAAACATCAAGCGGAGTCCGGCATAGCGATTAGTTCCGATTGCAGTATGCTACAGTGGTCGGGAAGTTTTTCACTTTATCCTATAACAAGAGATTAAGAGAGCAATGTAGAGTTTAGTATTGAGGCGTGTCCTATGCGGTTCCGCCCTGGTTGCATTCAGTCTTACAGCGTTGCAGCTTGCATAGAGTTTTCTATATAGGTCTGCCGTAAAAGGTTAAACAGAATTTGAATGGCTTCCGTAGGAGTTGAGTGCAGCACATCTGCGCACCTGCCATGAGTTTGGAGACCATCCGTCCAGCTAGCTCCAATAAGTAGCATTGTCTATTGCGGGTTGCCTGACAGTGACTCCATAGCATAATATGAGTCTTATTACTTTGCATAAGCAGTACACAATATGTGGTCTTAGTCCCCATTTCTTACCGACTGCCGCCTTTCAAGCGTAGAGTGCGGTTGTAGCTTTCTTACACATTTCTACTGTGCACCAGTTCTTTAGAGTTGCTGTCTAAGATTATGCCTGGGTAGTTAACCTCAGTACAAAGAGCGATTTAAGTGCCTCTGAATAGGGGTGATTTCAAGTCAAGTTGTTTGTAACTTCTAGTAAAGAGCATCAGTTCGGTCTTTGAAGGATTTACATCCACACCGCACACACTGCACCCGCTAGCTATTGTGTAAAGGAAATTTCTATAGGATGTTTTAACACTTTTAGCGCCTTGCGCGAGGGTGAAGCATTTCATTTTTATAGACTCCTGACTTTTAATTAACACGAAAGGCGCATAAATCCATTCCTTAAATCAGGGTTGTACAAGTCGATTGGCAGAACGCCAACACCAACCATTACTTTTATCATTGTCCAACCATCTTGATTGGGACGTTCAATAATTCTCTGACTTTGAGAGTCATGCACTATATAGATAGTTCAGGCCACATCTACCACACAATTGGAGAATTCTCGTCGATTTTCAGATTACAGCACAGAAGGCACAACCAAAGTACAAAAAATATCAAGTACAATGTGAGCTACTTCCTGTGCTGTTTGTGTGGATGCCGCAGAATCAAAAATTTTGGCAAACATATTTTTGAAATCATCGTCAAGCTTTTTCTTATGGCATTTGCAGACTTTTTATTTAATTCTTTCATTGTGAGATCTCTACCACCTTGACCACAATCGTAATGAACACTTTCAATCACATCGAATAACGCGTAAAGATATTTTTTCGTAGCTGACTTAACAGAATCTCACAGACAATATCTTCATATATCTGCTTATTCCTAAATGAAATAGACACTTATATTTATTCAAATTAATAATACTTTATAAGCTTACACACCGGTGCGTTCATCATACCAAAATGGATAGCACAAAGAATTTTACGAAACACTGCAAGATGTCGGCTTAGAAGCAATGCGAATTGACATATGAACGAGTCGGCCTTAGTCACTTCTGGGTTCGACTTGGCAAGCCCAAAAACAGATTATTTTACTTTCGACGTATGACTGAGAACTTTGATATTTCTAAGTTTTAGACCAATTTTGAATTTATTTCGGGGTATGACGAAAGATAGATTCGGAAAGATAACATATATCGGGCTATAACTATAACATATTACATATATTTGTTTTTCGTTTAAAAATGGTATACTTTTCTAATAAAAGAAGGTAGCCGGCTACGAAGTCGACTGTAACCAACTGGTCGGTTGATTAGTTGCACTGTTCACCTAGAACCTAAGCGGGCCCAGCGAGATCCTAATGACCCCAAGTCTAAATTTTCCCTTTTGTATTTGTATTTGGCGGCCGAGTGATTAGCATTACGATCAACATCCAAAAGTTATAGAAAATTAATTTAAATAAAAAATTAAGTTAATTTTTTTAATTGCGGTCGCCGCTCGGCAGGGAATGTCCACCCCTCCGAGTGTATTTCGGGCATGAAATAAAAAATCATCAGCCATTCAGAGGCGGCTTAGCATATTCGTAAACTGTAGGCCCCTCCATTTGTTGGAAAACATCAAGACGCAAAACCATAAATCGGAGGAGGAGATCAGCCGAAAATCGCTTCATCGGCTACAAAACGCCAATTATATATATATATATACAATATATACTTGTATTTGGCAAAAGGTTATTGATTTCTTAGGTCAACATATAATGAAATCTTTTTGTTGTATGTAAATATAACAGCCAAATATGTTAAACAGGTTTCCATAATTAAACCTCAATCTTAATTAAAAACAATGTAATAATCAACTAAGCTGAGTACCACATAAATTGTTGTTATTCCCAAGGATAGATGTAATCTTTGATGAACCAACCTACTTTTAGATTTTTCATTCTCAAAAATTACTTTTCTTTTCCACCACAAATAGCGCATTCAATTCTACTGAGGAATGGCAACTATTCGAGGCCCTGCAGAGCGCTGCTAATGAGCACCGTTTATCTCTGCCAGCATCGATAAACGTCATGTTCCCCACATGGTCACAGCAATCCGGTTATCCGCTACTCACAGTCACTCGTGATTATACAGCAAATAAGTTCACTGTACAACAAACTGCCTTCAATGACAATAGCACGGTTAATTCGGGTAGAACCTACTACGTACCATTCAACTATGCATCACGCTCCGAACCAGATTTTCGTAACACCACAGCTACGAATTATCTACTCAACGTCAAGGAAATTAATATTACCGATGCAACAGTAGGCGCAACTGATTGGCTGATTCTGAACAAACAATCTAGCGGTTATTATCGCATTAATTACGATGAGAGAAACTGGCAATTGATTGCCGAGGGATTGGTAGAGCGGCCACAAGCGATACATCCACGCAACCGCGCTCAACTGCTGTACGATGCTTACAAATTCGTTTCCACCTACCGCCTGCCACACAATATACTTTTGAAATTGCTAACCTACTTGCCCGGCGAAGATCAATATGCACCATGGTCGGCGGCGAACGCTATTATCAACAATTATAATGCATATCTGAGCGGCGATGCGGATTACGATGATTTCAAATATTTCATTAAATCGTTGGTCAACAATACATACGAACTGTTGGGTGTGAACGACGTGCATGCCGAACCATTGCTACGTAAATATACACGTAATATTGTGGTTAATGTCGCATGCTTGGTTGGTGTTGAGAATTGCCTTACCGATAGCAACAACAAATTGAAAGCACTCATCAGTAAAAATGTTGCAATCGAACCAAATGTTCGTTCGCAGGCTTACTGTAATGGTCTCCGACATTCCAGCGATACCGAATACAATCACTTCCTCAATGAGTTGTTCAGTTCGAGCGACGCAACCTATCGCAACTATTTACTCAGAGGTTTAGGTTGTTCTCAAGACAGTAAACAATTGGAAAGATATGTGAACAGTTCTATTGATCAGACTAAATCGCTGACCAGCTCTGAGCGGACTACACTCTTGAGCACGGTTTATTCACGTGGCTCAACTGGACTTTTGGTTAGTATTGAATTTCTCAGCAACAACTTTGAAACATATGGAAACCTTTCGGAAAGCACTGGGGCCGCTAACCCGTTGAGTCGGGATATAGTCAGCATGAGCAATTATGTGAACAACAAGAGTCAGGAAGAGAAGGTAAAAACTATATAAAATTAATCGAAATGAAAATAAATAGTTATTATGATTCTTTATTATTCTTTAGCTCTTGGCGCTTGTGAGTAAGGTGAAGACCAGCAACAAAGTACAAGCAAATCTAGAGGTCACAGTTCAAACCAATATGAACGTGAATTTCAACTGGTTGAACCTAAACAGCAAGCAGGTTATATCCTTCGTGAAAAGTTATCGCAGCAGTGCCAGGTCCGCGCTGAACGCTTCACTCCTGTCGGTGTTCGTAGCAGTGGTTATGACACTTTCTCGATTTTTCTGAGAAGCTGCTCTTTACCCGACGTATTCGAACGTACTGAAGCAATAAACTCTAGAAATAAGCAAACAAAAAATGGACTAAACTTTAAATAGAAAATAAAATATAATTTAAACAAAATGAAAGCAAATATTATTTGTGACTATAAGACCATTTTCCACTGAATCTTTGAAATATTTCTGTTCACAATGCTGGAACATGCTTGAAAGGCACGTTGATTGAAGGTTCGAGCTGCGCAAAAATGTTGAAAAAATGTTTTGCGCTCTACATTCGTTGCATAAACTACTGTTAACATTCTCAACTTCTTTTGTATTAAATACAAAGTCGTCGCTTTCCCGACTCTTACGTCACTGTTGACATTTCGGGACCAGCATTAACTTATATAATAATGCCAGCCCTGAAATCCAACGCAAAATCATTCTTCCAACAGGTGTTACTTTGAACTGAGTAGCCCATTCAAAAGTAAACTCCTCTGGCGATGAAGTAAAAAAGTAAAGTATTCGATGCAGTACCCGCCGATGGTAACAGAGGGCGAGGAAGGCCCTCAATCCGTTGGAAAGACCAGATAGAGAAGGGACTGTCTGTACTTGGTATCTCCAATGGGCGCCACACTGCGAAAAGAATAAATAAACTACGCAATGTTGATAGCTCGGCTTTAATGGCGTAAGATATGTCTACGCCAGTAAAGAAGAAGTTTTCGCATGCTTGTCTCAACACAAGCTCTCCCTCTCTCTCATTTGCTTCGTTCGTTACAAATCACTCCAACATTAATGCTAAATAGAATAAAGTAGTTTTCCCACTACTAGATTCAGTATTCGGTTTTCCAAAAGCTGAAGTTGTTTTACACAGGTCCAATTTCAGATCTCAGGTACTCAGTGCTCACTTTGATAGCCTAGAAATGCCTAATTCATTTTGAAACCTATGTAATTACAGTTGTGCAGTAAACAGCTGTTGAGCTTACAGGTATTTGGCGATCGTCTATCAAACTGCACTCGAAAAAGCTTGGTTCGAAATCAACTATTCGATCTTTTGCTTCAGAGAATCTATAAAACTATTATTAAAAATGGATATTAAACTTTTGACCAACAATTTCAGGGTACTACAAGCCACTTTAATGATCAATCGTATGACTAATGACTAATGAAGGTGAGTAAAACGACCCCACCTTATGTACCATTTCCTCTACGAATTCCACTCCCAAAAAATGTATCGCTCTTTATCCTATCCCGTCGCTCTCGATTTTCGTTGGGATTTTTAAGTCAATACTTTTTTAATGTGCTCACCGTTACTCGAAGGCTGCGGACAAAATAACATATATACGAAGGTTGGGAAGAGTCTTCAGACTCTTAATGATCAGTATCAAAATTCCGAGGCTATTCGTTTCAAATCCCTAATTGAATACTACATTGTCCCGTGCCTGACATTCGATAACGCAGACGAAGTTCAACAAATCTTTTCAAATTACTATAAAATTAACAGTGACATCACCGTTAACTGCATCCAACTAGAGCTAAAAATGTAATTTTGCTGCCGAAAGCTTACAATATCTTCCAAGCAGAATATTTGCTATAAAAATGGTGCCCATGCTACCACAGGGATCAAGTCTCAATATTGAGATCGTAGTTTCACATAGCACGAGATCGGTTGTGGTTGAGGGATCAAAAGACTGGTCCTAAATTTCTTATCTCAATCATATTTGAAAAAAGAAATTTCATATTTACTGCACATAAGCATCGAAGGCAATGAGAAAGCTGACAGAAACTGGTTGAAGAAATTGTCTATTCAGAACAAGACGTAATTATTGGTTTACCAGTCGTATTCAGGGAAGTGTGAAATGCAAAAGAAACGATCAACTTCAGTAGCTTCAATAAGTCATTTCCTTTAAGTGCCCCACGTTAATTGACGTCGAAAACACCTACGTCCATTAAGCAAGAGAAACAATTGGGATTGTTGCAGAACAGACCAAGTAAAGGGACCCCCCTTGATTTTTTTACGCTAAAATGAAAGCCATATATTTGTAGAGTATGTGTTTAAAGGTACTTTGCAATACGATGAATATTTTTCATATGGAAGCTTCTCGAACACACGTGTCTCACGCACCCAAGACAAACTTTCAAAAAACTTTGAACCCGTTTTTCTCGAAACCATGTTTTCCGGTTTAACTTGAGGCCCGGAGCTTCATCTATCCGTCAGATTTTTTTTTTATATAAAAACTGTTTCAAAGCATATAATTTTCGTTTAATTATTAATACTTTTTTCACTTACTTGAAGTGGAAAAGTAGCAAAGAATTCAACTTTATAATTGCAATGAGCATAAATTTACAGTTAAAATCGTTTTAATTGAGGTTCAAGACGTAGATAATTTCATCGTCTTCAAGTAATTACAACGATTTTTGATTTCATTCTACTACATGAGGATGTAGGCTTTAATTTGTTGGGCCCTGTTTTTCGCTCAGAAGACGACGGAAATTGAGTTCGACTATTTTTTGCCGTTTTGAAATCTCAAATAATAAACAGATTTAAGGGGCACACCTAGTGTAACGGCCTAAAAAAGGTGATTTTTGGAAATTTTTATTCAAAAAAAATACTTAATCAATAATTTCAAAATTTTAAGAATATATTTATACATGTTTCAAGAATATGCAGTCAAATTTTTGAAGAAAAAAATTAAAGATTTTTTAAGTTATATACGATCTCCAACGGCGGGAAAATAAAGGTCCTTCACTGCTGCAGTGATTCCAGCCTTCTCCGTGAATGAAATTTAAAAAAAATGATCGAATTTAACCCAAAATTTTGGTCGTTTTAGCCTGCCAAAATTCGATTTTTTGATCAGATCAAAAATCGATAGGTCATTGTACGGATCGATAGTGATGGGATCATTTGTTTTTGGTAATCACTGCAGCAAATTCGGAAAATGCTGTTTCGAAAAAAACGCGTTTAAAGATAAAATGAACGTTTTCACTCGTAGCTAATGAGACTCTTTAGCTGCCGAGCGGCTGCTCTTTAAATTGCTATAACTCAAAAATATTTGATATGTCATTTTTAAAGGTGTAATCTACCGAAATATGAGAAAAGATCGATTTTTTTGAAATCTCACACTAGGTGTGCCCCTTGACAGTCAAAACCGAAAGTTTGTACGCCTTTTCATTCACTCACAAAAATAAAATACAAACCTTACCTGATTTTTGCCCACAATCAGGGGAGAGTCTCTTAAGTAGCTAATCTTATACCGCTACGTGGCGTCGTCTATATTAGACTTTCTGAAGCCAGTACATACTATCCCAATCATGATTCTTTCGAAAAAAAAGCTCCTTCACTTGTGACTGACGACACATTTTAAACAAAGACATCCAGCCAATCATGATGCAGACTGGACTTTTGAGAGCAGAAAAATAATAACTTTTTCTAATAGTTATCAGGTGTACAACTTTTCTTCCGCCGTTTTCCGATAGGTGGCTGTAGAGGCTGAGGCTGGTTGAAATACATAGATGATAATGCCTTTAAAATGAGATTGGACAGTGCCTAACGAATTGTCATCGCCGTTTCAGTGACAGTTGTTCTTATTTCGTATATTGCGGGAAGTTTTACATTTCTGTTACAATTCGAAAAAAAATGCAGCTGGGGCGCATCGAATGCTCTCAGAAACTTACGGCGATGCTGCTCTGAGTGAAAGAACGTGTCGGGAGTGGTTTAAACGTTTTAATATAGTGATTTCGATGTCAAAGACAAACGTGGTGGTGGAAGAGAAATTTGGTGGGATCAGCTCGGTGCGATTTACTACGAGCTTTTAAAACCGGGTGAAACCATGAACGCAACTGATGCGCCTTAGTCGCGCGCTAAAAGAAAAGCGGCCACAATGTCAAGAGCGTCAAGACAAAGTCATCCTCCAACACGACAATGCTCGGCCTCACGTCGCAAAAGTGGTCAAAAAGTACCTGGAAACGCTGAAATGGGAAGTCTTGCCCCACCCGCCGTAATCCCCAGGTGTCGCCTCTTCTGACTTCCACCTATTCCGTTCGATGGCACACGGCCTGGCAGATCAACATTTTCAATCCTTCGAAGAATTGGAAAAATGGATTGCTTCATGGATAGCGTCAAAAGAGGACTCCTTTTTTCGAGCCGGGATGGGAGAAAGTTGTCGCTAGCGAAGGACAATACTTTGAATTATATATCTGTAAGCACTTTTTCGCAATTAAGCTTTTAATTTTGGAAAAAAACGGCGGAAGCAAAGTTGTACACTTGATATAATGTGTTTCTTATTCAAAAATATTTATGATCACAAATCAGATAATTTCGGGTAGCCACGTATCACTATAAATTGGCAACACTGAGAAATCACATAACAGGACATTTATTAAATACAAAATTATTTTGTTCCCATATTAATTTAATTTAACTTAAAATGCCATCATTCACAAGTGAACTGTTGTTGAAGTGATTTTATAGTTTTTCGATTAGATAAAAAGATTGATTTATTTTCCTTATTTCGTTCACTAAATCAAATCGATTTTTTGTACATTTTTTTGATGGTATACACGTTAATTTGCCAATTACATACGAATATTTGACGTAACTACTCTTCTCTTATATAAAGTTTTATGGTTATTGGATGGATGTGAGGAGCTGACGATTATTAACCAAAAAAAAAACATTTACGCGCATTAAAGGCTTTGAAGCATGAAGCTTTTATGACTTGACATTTTCTTTCGCACTGAGACTTATCAAGTTTTATTTTCAAAATTCAAAAAAATATTTAAAAATCAAAGTTTTTCGTAGATAAGTAAAAATATTTATTGAAAAAAAATTTTTTTAATTGCTGCTGAAACGCGTCCCTTTTTTTGGTGAGTAAAACGAATGTTCTGAAAGCAAAACCCACAACGGTTTCAATTTCTGTATCACATTGGCTATGGCCGGGACTGCAATGAAACATTTTCACTAAAAAAAAATGGCGGACTTTTTAATTGGTTTAGCCTTTTTTCAATTTTACTTTTTTATAACATTTTTTCAAACAACAAGAAATGTTTTGGTTGTCATGTTGATAAGTTTATTAGGTTCTAAATAGCAGTGCCACACAGCTGAAGAACGTGGTTT